TTTTTTCTTGGTTTCTTCACGTTACTAAAAAGGGTGCACAGAGGGTACAGTCTTATGACTTCTGTATCTTACAGCCCTCGTGACCGGTCCTGTCCCAGATCCCCATCGAGGAGAAGGGAGAAGCCGGCAGCCTGCCCTGGATGTGGAGCAAGGCCTTTGGATAACTGCAGGCTCTGCAGAAAATGCTTGAACATGGCCGCAGGAGAATCTGATCGCCAGAGGTCACCGCAAGCCTCTACCTCCTCAGCCAAGGATATTGCTTATTGGATTAAGCAGGCAGTGGTTGAAGGAATTGCTGAATCCCACAAGATTAAGAGATCAAGAGGGGAAAACTTCAGCATGGATTCAGATCAGTCTGACGATGAATACAGACAAACTTCATCTTACCTGGATTTGGAGCCAATCTCGTCCAGTGAAGAGGAGTATATGGAACAACCTTGCTCATTGGACTCCAAAGCTATGGAGCATTTGATTATGGCTGTTAGAAGAACATTGGATTTGCCGGAAGAAACCAGAGAATGTTCATCTTCTGACTTTGGAGATTTACATAAGAAAAGACCTTCCTTTCCAGTCCACAGCTCTATTAAAGACCTGATGAGGAACGAGTGGCAAATTCCTAGTAAGAGGATTACTAGTCAGGGTCAGCTTTCGAAGTTATATCCGATTAAAGAGGAGGATTCCAGATTGTGGACTACGGTCCCCAAAGTTGATGCTCCTATCATTAAGGTTGCTAAAAGATCCACGCTACCAATTGATAGCAATGCTTCCCTTAAGGAGCCCATGGATAAAAGGATTGATGCTGATTTATCTAAAGCTTTCATGACAGCGGGTTTAGGTTGCCATCCAGCTGTGTCCATTTCGGCTTTGTCTAGAGCCATGCGTTCTTGGTTGCTTGACTTGGAGGATGACATAGATAAAGGGGTCAGTAGACGTCAGATGGCGGAATCCTTAAGGGATATCAAACTCGCCAGTGACTGGCTTTTGGAATCCTCCACTGACCTCATTAGAATTCTTTCTAAGGTTATGGCACATTCAGTCACCGCTAGAAGGGCGCTTTGGCTGAGATCCTGGGGAGCAGACCTGTCATCCAAGAATAATTTATGCTCACTTCCCTTTATGGGAGAAGTGCTTTTTGGGAAACCTCTGGATGAAGCGATTAAAAAGGCGGCCGAGGTTAAACAGGTCATGCTGCCACAAGATAGGCGTCCAAAGAGACCTCGTCTGGACCGTAGACCTTTTAGGGATCAAGGCTACTTTAGGGAAAGTAAGACTTACAGGCCAGGTAGAGAATTCTCAAGGAATTCCAATTGGAAGAGCGGCCTGAATGGGAAATCCTCTAGGGGCAAGACGCAGACCTCTTCCTTTCGCCCCAACAAGCAATTCTGAAGGTGGCTTACTCCAGGTTCCTCGAGTGGGAGCACGTCTTTCATTCTTTCAGAGGCCTGGGAAATAATTCCAGATGCTTGGGTAAGATCCATTATCACCGGAGGTTATCATCTGGAATTCGACGAATATCCACCTCCACCAAGGTTTATTCGCACAAGGCTTCCAGCCAACATCCAAAAAAGAGAGGTTTTGACTCTTTATGTCAACAATCTTCTTACGGAAGAAGCCATCATACCTGTACCCATAAAAGAAAGATTCCAGGGATATTATTCCCCCCTGTTCTTGGTCAAGAAGCCAGAGGGAAAATGGAGGCCTATTTTAGATCTCCACCAGCTCAACCTTTATCTGAGAGTCAGAAAATTTCGGATGGAATCCATTCGCTCCATCATTCCGGTTGTTCATCACCAAGATTGGATGATATCAGTAGACCTCAGGGATGCATATTTTCATGTCCCTATCACGTTCACCCATCAAAGGTTTCTCAGGTTTTGTGTCCGGAAGGAACACTTTCAAGGCCCTTCCTTTTGGTATAAGTACGGCCCCGAGGACCTTCTCGAAGGTTCTGGTCACCATCATTGCTTTGCTCAGAAAAGAAGGTGTAGCGGTGTTTCACTACCTGGACGACATCCTGGTAGTGGCTCCGGACCTAGCATCAATATTCCAACACAGGCAATTAGTCCTAGACACTCTATCTCATTTCGGTTGGCTCATCAATTACAAGAAGAGTCACTTGAATCCTTCAAGAGAACTGATATTCCTGGGAGCAAATTTCAATACAGACACAGCGATTGTATCCCTCTCACACGACAGAAAGATCAGACTTCGAGATCGGATAAGGGACTTCAGACTAAAGACTTCAGCCTCGGCGAGAGAGTTTATGAGGCTTCTGGGGACTCTTTCCTCTACGATAGAACTTGTCAGATGGGCTCAGTGGAACCTTCGCCCTCTTCAACAATTTTTCCTAAAAAATTTCAGGACCGACTCGAGGGAGTGGGAGACGCTGATTCGCATTCCTTTGATTCTGAAGCAGAAGCTCCTTTGGTGGATGTCGTGGGAAAATCTCTCCAGAGGGTTCCCCTTGCGGGAAATAGATTGGGTGGTCATTACGACAGATGCCAGTCTGACAGGTTGGGGGGCTCATTTAGGCAATCAATTTTTTCAAGCAAATTGGCCTCCAAGAACTCAATGCTTGCCTTCCAACATCAGGGAGCTAAGAGCAACCTTTCTTGCGCTTCTTCATTTTCAGCATCTCATCAGGCATTGCTGGGTCAAGTTGAGAGTGGACAACAAAGCGGCTGCTGCCTACATAAACCATCAAGGCGGAACAAGGAGTGTAGCCCTGATGAGAGAGATAGTTCCCATTATGACCTGGGCTCAGAATCATGTGGAAGGCCTGTGTGCCATCTATCTCCCAGGGAAGGAGAATGTAATAGTGGATTTCCTCAGCAGACATCGGATAGAGGCTTCAGAATGGCAACTTTCCAGGAGGATCTTCGCTCGGTTGGTCCAGAAGTGGGGTCTTCCCCAAGTAGACCTCATGGCGACCTTTCGGAATGCTCAGGTTCCATGCTTTGTGTCGAGGAGATACCATCCAAAGGCGGTTGCTCAAGATGCTCTATCCATCAATTGGGTATTCGATCTGGCTTACGTTTTTCCTCCAATTCCCCTCATCCACGCTGTTCTGAGAAAGATCTCCAAGGAACATTGCAAGGTGATAGCTGTACTTCCATTCTGGCCTCGTCGCCCTTGGTTTCCCCTGTTACAGAGGTTATCAGTGGACCTGCCTTGGGAACTTCCAGTCTCAGAAGACCTGCTGATTCAGGGTCCAGTGTTTCATCCGGAGCCTCACAAATTCAGGCTCCATGCATGGCTATTGAGAGGAAGTCTCTAGTTGAACATGGCCTTTCGGACCAGGTTATCTCTACCCTGTTACGTTCCAGGAATCCTTCTACTTCTTCTACGTACCATAAGGTATGGGAAACCTTTGCTCGATGGTGTAATTCCACGGTTCAAGAATTAGGTTCCCCTTCCGTGTCTCAGGTTTTGGGTTTCCTGCAAGCAGGCCTGGAGAGGGGCCTTCAACTTAACACGCTTAAAGTACACTGCTCTGCTCTTTCAGCTCTTTCCGGTATTCGTTGGGCATTGAATCCTATTGTAATTCGCTTCTTCAAAGCAGTGATTAGGATCAGACCTCCTATCAAGGTTTTCTCTGCTCCTTGGAATTTGCCTCTGGTTCTGCAGGCCTTGACGGAACATCCCTTCAAACCTATTGATGAGGTCTCTATGCAGGTTCTTTCTCTCAAGACCCTGTTGTTACTGGCCTTGGTATCTGCTAGGAGAATGTCAGATATTAGAGCACTGTCGTCTGAAGAACCATTCACTACCTTCTTCGATGATAGGGTTGTGCTACGGCCTAGACCTGAGTTCCTTCCTAAGGTGGTTACATCCTTTCATTTGAATCAAGAGATTGTCCTGCCAGGGTATTTTCAGGAGCCATCGTCTCCTGAGGAAGAAAGATGTCATACGCTAGACCTAAGGAGGTGTCTTTCCACATATATTTCACGCTCAGCTGATTGGAGGAAGTCTACCCAATTGTTTGTGATACCTTGGGGTTCTCGTAAAGGTGAAGCTGCCTCTGTCGCAACCCTTCGTTCTTGGACGGTTCAGGCTATTTCTAAAGCCTACAGAGCTAAACAGGTTCCTGTTCCCAAGGACATCAAGGCACATTCCACAAGGTCCATTGCTACTTCATGGGCTGCAGAGTCAGGAGTTCCTGCAGAGAGCATCTGTAAAGCTGCCAATTGGTCATCTTTAAAAACCTTTGTACACCACTACAGAGTGGATATCTCATCTCGTTCTGATTCAGAGTTTGGCCTATCGGTCCTGAACTCTTATAAGCCTTAAGTGGATATTAAACAGTTTTTGTAGCATGACTTACCCTCCCTGAGTGGTTATTGCTTTTGTAATCCCATATGTTAAATGCTGCCATGATTAGCCAGAATAGAGAAATTTTTGATACTTACCGTAATTTTTTTTCCTGGCTATTATTCATGGCAGCATTTGGTCTCCCACCCTCTCTTGTTTATTTGTCTTGTTACTAGACTGGGTGTGGGGGATACTGGGGTACCTAATATACTAGGGAAGGTAGGCTTAATTGTTTAATTGATTGTGTTTCCTGTCCTGAGGGTTGGAGGGAGGAGCTAAACCCATATGTTAAATGCTGCCATGAATAATAGCCAGGAAAAGAAAATTACGGTAAGTATCAATAAATTTTCTCTAGTATTCAATGTGAAAATGTTTAATAAAGAAGCAAAACGATATTCCAATCAAGTGAGTTTTTAAACACACTGCTCTTGACACTTTCAAAACCAGCACTCCGGTTTGAAAGCTGTCATCTCTTATTGATTTACCCTGTTAATTCTATTAATTCCATATCAGACAGTTTATATGAATGGGAAGAGGCACGTCAAGGTAAAATGACTGGATTGCAGTCTGTGCCATTCACAAGGCACATACACAAGGCAAGAAAGAATGTGCATTTTTAAATAAGATATGATGGTAGGTTAAAGTGTGTAACATTGGTTGGTTGTACATGCTCAACAGTTTGCAAGGTGCAGGAAGGATGGCCCACTACACAAGGATAGTCGCAAAAAGATGATGAAATGAGTTTGGGACCGCAACAGAAGGATTATAATAAGCACATCACTGGCACCGAAAGACCCATGAAAGAATCTTCAAATGCGGTATATCAGCCATTATCAACAAATAGTTTTCCCATTTTACAAGCATCTATTAAATTCAATAGCACATCTCTAATCTCCACATGCTGTTAGATTGATAATTCACTCCTTATGTGAAATATACTTTTTTTCCCCCAAGTCTTAGTGAATTACTTTGTGTCCCCTGCATGGACTTGTTAATGGACAGTGAGGCATAAAGGCAGAAAGATATAACAGCATTCATTCATTAAAATAGGAGCAGACCTCTAGTGAGTATCTGCAATCAAGAGGTGGTGGAACACAAAGGATCCGATAAAGAGTTTCACTGACACTTGAATGCTGTTGTGGAAAATGGAAGATACTTAAATCATTCCGGTTTTCATTGGGTGAATCAGGCAGGAAGAATACAGTGCAGGGGGCACAGATCTTTTCCCCACAGAGTGTCAGCCAAGCCAGCGGCATTACTGTAGCGTAGAGGCATAACCTCCATTTCTAGCCTGCTTCTCAAAAGAACAGGGATAGGCAACCTTCGGCACTCCTGAATTTGTGGACTACAACTCTTTTAATGCTCTTATGCACAGCAAAGCAGCAGGGGAGATGTAGTCCACAACATATGGATTGCCAAAGGTTGCCTACCCCTTGCTGTAGAAAATCTCCTGGAAGGTTAAGTAGCACGTAAGTGGCCCCCAGCATGAAGTGAGAAAGCATACTGGCAGGACAACTGGCTACTGATCTATGTAAGGCTAATGTTACTGAGTCTCAACCTCTTTTTTTTTTTCAAACTTAAGACTGCAAAAGATCTGGGTTTGATTGAATACCACTGATGGTATTCGATTTTCTGTCTTAGCTAGCATTGTGCAGTAAAAATGCATCCAAACTTAATCAGTGCACCACATAGTGTCATCATTGTCATATTATCATAACTGTGAACATATTAGTTTTATCCATATACTTTACAACGTGTCAAAGAAGGAGAAAGATGTAAAGCCAATTGTCATAGAAAGGAAAAGAGCAGGATCATCCAAAAGATTGCTATAAATGATAGTATTTCATTACTTTTCCTAAGATAACATCTTCCAATCTTCCACATTTGCATTCTTATGTTTCCCTTTTGTATGAAGTCTTCTAAAATGACCAGCCTCTGTAGGTTTAGCACTGTCCCCTGTTTTTTCTTAGATTTGTAGAATAAAATACATCTGGCTCTATGTTTTGGGAAGTGGTTTAGAGTTTAAGTACTATTAAACAACAGGAATTGCAAGGTAAACACTTGAAACCGATCCCAATTAGAATCAGAACTTTTTTCATAGGTGTCCCCTAGAGGGCGTGTTTTACTCATCAAAAATGTCACAGCACCAGTTCTGATGTAAATTAATGTAATAAATAGTTTTTTAATTTATATCACTTGATAAAGAAAAACATATGCTTGTAAAGTCTGTTTTTATTAGACGTTAGGACACAAGGAGGTTTAGGTTTAAACGAATTTCCTTTTTTTATTATTATTATTATTATTATTTTAGCTTGAAAATGTCAGTTGGCTTATCATATAAACAAATTTTAGTATAGTGAAATGACATTTAGAATTTTAAAAAGACTAAACTAATTGGGACTATTTTCAAAGTCTACTTGTGTTCCAAATGAATATTCGTGATCTGAAAGAATGGCTTTAAAAACCAGAAGGTAGTTTTTATATTTGTCAGACATATTGTCAGACGGTTAAAAATCAGACATATGAAGAAAATCTGACTGTCCAAAAATTAGCACTCTGGCAAGCCACTGATTTTTCTAGATTGCTTGCTTCAAGTCTTGATACCTTAACACAATAAAGGTTATGAAAAATATTTGTTATGTTCTGTAAAGTGGTCTAAAGTACTGAAAGTATGGCAGTTACCATGGAAACTAGTTGAACCTGCAGACACAGTGCATTGGTGATACAGCTCATTTTTTCAGAACAGGCAATTTATATACCTAACAAATATTTCAGCATTTTGGTTTACTTCAAAACTTTATTTTGTTCACTGCAAAGCATGAAATGTGGGAGGGCGCATTAGGCCTCCCCATAGGAAAGCATTGCTTCAGTGCTTTCCTGTAAGTGTTTTCACTGATGCTGGATGTCCTCATGCAGAGCGTGAGAACATCCAGCATTGTTTAAGGGACTCTGAGTATTTAGAATCCCTGAAGCGCACCTAGTGGATATCTGAGAGACAGCAACTAGAGGAAGTCTTAGTGCTGCAAACAAATCATTGCAGTTTCTCAAAAACTGCAATGACTTACATTGCAGGACTAAGTTGGACAGGGACACTGCACCCAGAACACTCCAATGAGATGAAGTTGTCTGGGTGCCTATAGAGTCCACTATTTTCTGGTGGGAATCCATTGCTACCACAGTGTTAGCATGCCTATCAAGTCCTGAGGATTTAAAGTAAACAAAAAACATGATATTCCCATATAAATGTTTGTTGGAACAAAGTGTTTAGTTTTTTGCCAAATTAAATATTGGCTGGAGTTTCATTGCCAACTCCTGCGTCTACATACTACATACTTTCAATATCATCCTGGATCATCTTGGTCAACTTTGCCAACATGAGACAAATTAAGTTATGCTTTCTGTTCATTGTCATGTAGCTCCATGCACCCTTCCCCACCTGTCAGTCAGCCCTTGACATCAGACCTGTATGTCGGAGGCATAGACATTTTAAGCCACAAATTGACCACCAGGAAGAGTAAAAGAACCTTTCCAAATGCAATTCTCTGCTTCCTGTCCTCCAGCAAGCATTTATCTCTTTTGCTGCAGGAATATAGGCCAAGGATGTGCTAGCATCATCATGGGAGCATGCCGGTGTCATCAGTAGGCTTCCCCCTAATCTTCTTTGGAAATGTCCCCAAGTAGGGGCAATAACAGCAGAAGTTCTCTGGAAGTGTCCACAAGAAGAGCCAATTGCAGCAAAAAGGAAACTGTGTAATAAGGTGAGTACTAATAAAACAGTTTGCAAAGCACAGATATATATTATATATGATACATTATATATTCACTTCCTTGGGAGCTGTTTTATGTTAAAATAACTTTCCTGGTAAGATGTATTCTCCAATACAATGATACAATAATACATAGTAGATTACATATATAATGTATACACTTCTGCTGTTTTCTTTAACTCAATTACTATAAAAATCCCTAAATCCTACTTGTACAGATATTTTGCTATCAGGAAAAGAAAGATAGTGTAGATAATAACTGTACTTATGATACACAAAGCAAACTAGATTTATCTCCATGCATATCTTATTTTACAAACCATCTTGGGGCTCACTGCCCCATTACAGATAATCATATAAGAAATGTGGGACATGCAGTTTAAATTCACTGTGTCAATATAAATATACAGTTTGCTCTCTCTCCCCTTTTCCTGGTAAGATGTATTCTACAATACAATAATACAATAATACATAGTAGATTACATATATACACACACACACACACACATATATATATATCTATCTCCACGATCCTTTAATGATGCTCGGGTGCCAAGCCACAGTATAGGAAAGAAGGTTTTCTTTCAATATATACAAAGCCACATGGGCATGTGATTCGGTATACTACATGTGTAGTAGTGCAAGTGATGCGATGTCTGATGTTAAAAGTTTTTCCCGAGTGGGGGTGGCAGAACGTCTTTCCCGTAATCATCGAATTACATGCTGTGCAACTCAGGCATTTTAAACAAATGCTCCTTGGATCTGATGTTAGTGGACATAGAGGAAGTGGGAAGGGAACTCAAAGTGACTAAATTCAAGATATCTGACTACGAACTCAAACACACTGTTACTCTGACCACCTAATTGTGACTCTCTAATTCAGAAACTCTCTGAAGATTCGAAACAATATAAGAAGGACCTGGTACAATTCAAAAGACAGAAACTTGACAATTCTGATTACTCAGAACACAGAGTATATATATGGTTATCTGGCGATTATAGCCGCCCAACTCAGAGACCGTACAGACCTAGGATTAAGAAGCCACTAGCCCAAACATTGATTTTACATCATGTGAATTAACGTCTGAATCAGAACAAGGAGCACCCATCACCTCTGGATCTACCTCACAAACAACAACACACACAGATAACCAGGTGTCTTTTTTAGACCCAGGCTTGGGTCTTACCAAGGAACCGGTCCAGAACACCAGAGATACAAGAAGCAGCAACAGAACAGAGTATCATTCTCCCGGGACAAACCTACAAGGAGAGGTCAGAAGTGGAAGGCACACTGGACAGAGATACAGACCTCCCCGCAGGTGATGGAGACCACCATTATCGATCTCTCACAGATCTCTAACGTCTATTAAAACTAACGTGTTATCCAAGGGACTGTCATTGGTTCCCACTTACGATATAGTAAACTTTGAATGGGAAGTTGATCAATATCGATTTTGACAGAAATTACACCTGGCAGATCACTTTCGATCCAACTCAGAAACCACCAACACCTCTATGGATCATCATCTCAGACTCAGGAGCACATTTGACCCTCCGTCCACAAATGCAACTTTGAAAGTGTTCACACAGAATCTACAAATAGAGAGTTGGACGTTATTGCAAACATTTCAAGCAAAGAATGCAAAGCCTTAAACGACTTAGCCACAGACCTATCTATCACTATTTGTCCCGTGGACAAAGTGAGAGCTATAGTGATTATGCAATATATGGATTATAAAGATGAAATACTGCGTCAATTTGCAGACACATCTACATATCGATTCTCATCTAAGGATCCAACAATGGAATACAGTGAAATCATAACCAACACACTCCAGAAGGGCTTAACCGAGGGTCACTTGTCTCCCCAGGAGGTTGAATACTTACTAGAGACTCACCCAATATGTCCCGTCTTATACACACTGCCTAAAGTTCACAAGAACCCAGTACACCCCCCTGGCAGCCCTATTGGTTCTGCTAAAGGGGGCCTCCTAGAACCGATTGGCAAACTGCTTGCCCACAAATTTAAAACACCAGCGATGTCCTTGACTACTTGTGTTAAAGACTCTCCTATGGTGATTGTGGAACTCCAGAAGCTTACTGTCCCTCCATCATGAATTATCTTGGCTGCAATTGACGTCAGCAGTTTATATGCAATTATTTCTCACTCTGAAGGAATCCAAGCAATGAGGAAAGTACTGGAGAATCATCAGGACCCAGGTAGTCATTCTGTTGATTTTATACTTGAATTACTACAACTCTGCCTAACTTTGAATTACTTTAAATTTGAGTCTGGCGACTATATCCAACAGGCTGGCACTTCAATGGGGGCACCGATGGCCCCCATGTATGCCAATGCCTTCATGAACAACTATGAGAGCAAATACATTTTGAATCGATATAAAGAACATATACTTAAATTCATGAGATTTAGCGATGATATCCTCCTCCTTTGGACTGGTAGTGAGGATGAACTATGCTCTGTGAAACAACATTTGAATATGTTACCTACTCCAGTGAAACTCACATACAAGTACAGTACCACCATTATCTAATTTCTTGATCTTGAAATAGTTGTCACAGGCAACCATTTGGGCTACACACTCTACTCTAAGCCCACCGATAGAAATACTATTCTACATGCCTCAAGCTTCCACCCCAAGAAACTTATAGAGTCTCTACCCATCTCTTAATTTGTCAGAGTTCTCTGCAACAATTTGGAACACTCTAAAGCAGATGTACAACTACAAAAGATGTTTACCAAATTCTTGCAAAGAGGTTACTCTAAAAAAGTTTTCAGACAAACGCTCCAGCAGGCACAACAAACGATTGCAGATGAACAACCATCAAACCCAATCGATATTCGACTAATCTTCCCTGTATCATCCCACATTCATTCCCGTCAAATAACATCTACATTACAAGGGAATTGGGATATCCTTAGAAAAGACCCTTCATTACCACCCATCTTTCGTAATAATCCCAACATGAGTTACAGGAGAGGAAGAAACCTACGGGATATGCTGGTACATACTGACCAACATAACCTCTTACTACAAGAAAAAAGTCCCATCGTTAGAGGATGTTATCTGTGCCTGAATTGCACAACATGTAACTTTATGATTACTGGAAAGACTTTCTGCCACCCCCACTCGGAAAAAACTTTTAACATCAGACATCGCATCACTTGCACCACTACCCATGTAGTATACCGCATCACATTCTCATGTGGCTTTGTATATATCGGGAAAACCTCTAATGACCTAAGAGAAAGAATGTAAGGTCATCGCTCAGCGATAGTTATCGCCCTGAACACCAGTTCTGCCAACACTCCAGTGACACGAAATTTCTTGGAAGCTGGACACTCTTTACCGATGTTACGCTTCATGGGCATTGACCTGTCCCACTAGCCCCTAGAGGTGGTGACAGAGATGCACAACTTTTGAGAAGGGAGGCATACTGGATTTATACATTTGGGACACTAGCCCCATGCAGACTGAATGAGAAAAATCCTTTATATTGTCTCCTTCCCAGTTAATGTGAGATTCCTCCTTTTTTTGACTGGAACTATCACTGAATTATGCTCTTTGATCATTTCTGTTCTCACATGACTATTACCCCACTTCTCTCTGTCGATCCAGTTTTCTTTTTATCGGGTCTCCACTTATCATACGTTATAGAGCTAATTGTTTCTTTGTATATATTTTTTCTAACCTTCACTCACATGGTTACATTTGGTATGATGATGTCATCTCTGACATCACCAGTCTTGCTCTCACCTGTTCACCTTCCAATTATTTCACAGCTTGTGTATATATAAACGTTGTCTGGCACGTAGCACTTGTCTTGAGAAATGTCCAGGAGGACTGAAACGTTGATGTTTATTTTTGCTAAATAAAAGCATTATCTACTTTACTACTACAGTCTCCAGAGTGCACTCATCTTCTTTCCATTATTTTGCTGATTCGCAGGCTGGTTTGGTTGGCAGCAACCTCTCAGTTCTAGTCTACACTTACACTCCTGGTGTCCACAACACAGCCACTGACGCTCTTTCACGCTCAATTTAAGGCACTCCCTACGACCCACTACCTACCATCCAGGATACCACCATTCCATGAGCTAATCTTGGACTAAGCACACAATTACACCACGACAGGCACGCACGCTTCACGCAGTTTCATGACCACTCTATCACTCATGCCAGGGCCTTGTATATTGTAACACGTTACAAGTACAGTTTGCTTGAATCAAGACTTTTGCAGTTAAAAGATGGTAATTTCTGCCTCTTCCTCTAAACCTACAAATCAAGCATCTTACTTAAACGTCCTATGCTGTCACTCCGCTTTTACTTCTCCAAGGTCAACCACACACTATCAGTCCTAATCCATTACTTCACGTCTAACCCTTTCATTACGGTTGAGCTACAACATGGCTTCCTTCGCTGGTCTCTATTTTTCGCAAAAGCTCTTACACCCAGTCTACATCACTAAGTGATGGGGCCAGAGGTAACCTTCAGCCCAGTTAAATATATACCTCAATCAGAGTAAAAGCTCCTTACAAGCTTTCAGTACTCACGCTGTATAAACTTGCAATAAAGTGTGTTTTCTTAGAATTCTCTTTTGCCCTCTTTTTACAGGCCTACTCGTACATTGGTTTCGGCACACCTCAACCAACTTTGCTTCTCCTTCTACATCCCATTACGTATTAGAAATTCCAAGCACAAATATATATATATATATATATATATATATACACACACAATTTCAATACCTTACTGAGGACCAGATACAAAAAAGAACCAATCCCCATTGTTAAGAAGATGGAGCAATTAAAAAAATGACCCATGATAACTATTGCATTCACCCAATAATTCTCACATCTCAATTCAGATTGAGACAAACTTCATAAATACTTGTGTTCGTGCAATATATTAGTAGGTTTTAAGTCTTTAGGCGTCAACTACTTTTTACCTAAATAGTTAATTAACTGTTGGTACTTACCCCACATTTCTCATCGCCAGTGATGGATACTCTTAAATACTCTCTTTCAAGGATAACTTCCTTTGAGAAGCAGTCTACATAATCTTCATATTCCTCTTTGTATAATCTGAGAAAAGGGATACCAAACAGAAGAGTAAAATGTTTGAAACGAAGAAGAGAGAGGAAGGGACTGAGAAATTAGAAAATAAAAATATAACAGATAAAGATATAAAAAAAAAGGAAAGGGAAGCGCAAACTGGAAGGGAAATTAACCAGGAACAATTTTATATAGAGGCAAAGGCGTAACTCACTGTAAGTCAGAGCTGCTGTCAATTTTCAGAAAATCCTGTTTAGCTCTAAGTAAAATATCAGGTTCAAGTCTAGATAGGAGTTAAAAGATGCAAAAGAGAAAAAAGGAGATGAGGGAAGGGCAAACTCGATAGTATGATAATGACGACACATGGCACTGGAAATCTGTAATGTAATTTCATGAAAAAACTATTCCCTTTAGATTTTAATTAAATGTGATCTCATATGCATATACTGGAACTGTACAGTTGCATGCAAAAGTTTGGGCATCCCTGACCAAATAAAGCATTTTGTTGGTTTTCTAAGAGAAAACAACCTCAGCAATGAATAAATGTAAACATATGTCTGCAAATGTTGAAGGTTAAAAATAAATATATGTAATATAACTTATTTATTTTTACTGTTGAAGCGTTCCTCTTGGCATTTAATGTCAGCCCTCCACCTTTTTTTTTAAAATATTTATTTTTATAAATTCTTTAAACATACCTTTATTCCAGCACTGGGACAGTCTCCTCAGTGCAGCCACTCCACCTCCAGTGAGTTACTCAATTATGATCACATCTATCCAATCTAGTATTTTTCCCTGAAACGCATTGTGGATACGGGATGCATGGGCATTGAAATAAACATTTTTTCAAATCTGCTTAACAAATCACTCCCACTGGAGTGGAGATGTTGCTCCTTACAAAAATCCAATTTACTAATACAGTATATTGATAATGCATTAAAGGATCACTCTAAGCAATACATGCATTACATGCTGTAATCATTTCACACTTACCTGTGTCTCCTGAGCTTCTATGGCGCAGCCCCCACTTCAGAGATCAATGATATGTAATTTCCAACTACCATATTTGCCCATGTTTGGACAGATTTTATTTAAAAATAAATACATTATATATATATATATATAAAAAAAAAAAAATTGTGAGAGGAGAACATATACTTTAGCAATCTGAAGAGTAAGTGGAACCACATGTGCTAAGGTGACCCAGGCAAATGTCAAACTATTTGAAAATAGTTTGACTGTTAACTAGGGAACAGCGCTAGGTGACTCCTGGTACCATTACCACTACAACAATTTGTCAGGTCAGTAGCAGGCAAAACCATTGTGACTTGGAAGAGGGTCAACACTTAAGTTCATCTCATACTGGTCTAGGGAATCTGCTCTCACCCCCATCCCATGCTTAGATCTCTGTTGATGGGCTTTCATCACATCATCCTCGTTTCTTTTCACCTATTATTCCTTTGTTAAACTTTTGTGTAACATGTTCCCGCAGATCCTTTCTAGAAGAACATTTTCAACATCTATAAACCTTTTGTCAATTCTATCTCTATTTTACACTCTGCATAAACATTGTATGAACTGCTAATTGTGCTGAGTTTCTATTTATTTTTGTGTCTTTGTTTCAGCCCTGTTCTGGCTTTTGGTCCTCTTTTTCTCCCTTATACGTCCCTTAAATATAATTCCTTAAATGCTCTTACTTAATGTCTTGGCTGATTTGTCTCTCTAGACGTTGTCTTCTTTCCTCAAGCTTTTCAATTGGGCTCTCCTCTGGAAATTCATATGGAGCAGAACGCATGTCACTATCTGCAAGAGAGCGACTGAAGAGCTCCTGAAGGGAAAAAAAGGAAACAGTTTGAATAAGGGTAAGATTTCACAGAGAGAGCACAACTGAAAGGAACATGGAACTTAAAGAATAATTCTGGAGAAAATAAAAAAGTATATGTTGGGAAGGCTGTAAATATACACAAGACAGACATTGTTAGATTTAATGAAGGTTAAATAAACAAACTAATGATGTATTATCAGATACTAAAGCAAGACTGTAGGTACTATAAAAACTCCATCTTATTGAAGATGTTATAGTGCCTTCAGTACTCCCCCCTGAACCCTTTATTTTAAGAATTAGAAGGTTTGGAAGCATGTCTCTCTCGGTATGCCATCCTTGTATGATAGGCAGGACTGTTACTTACAGGCTCTCACAGCGTGACATCATGCACACATGTGCAGTGCAGTGCACCTATGATTCTGCCAATGGTTCTCTATGGCAGAATCATAGGTGCATGCGCCTATGGTCCCCAATGCTCCTCAGGAGGTTCACCTCCAAGAAGACATCAGCCAAGGAGGGGGCCGCAGCAGCGTCGAGAGAGACTCAGCGCTAGAGAAAAGGTGAGCCATTTGTTTTGTTTCATTTTTTTCTTTTAACACTGTGGGAGCCCTAAACTAATTAGGCACAACAAGACTGATATGTATAGGTATGATGTGTATATATGTATTCCTAATGATACAGTGTTCCTTCGTGAGACGAAAAAGAATTAGAATAATTAATATTGAGTAACCTCTGCAATTTCCTTGTATTTTCCCTCCATTGATGTTCTTAGTTCACGGTTCAGTTGCTTTAAGCTGTGAGGGGTACCAGAAAACGATTTTGCAGACTGTAGCGGGTGGAATGGAGACCCACGATGATCTGAAAGCAAGGAAGTAAGTATGTAAGATAAAAAGAACACTGTGAATGTATGACTCTTAAAAACCTTGTGAATTAAATAAGCATTTCATTGAGACATTGAAAAAGAGACGTTCGGGAGATTGCAAAACTGTAAATATAAAAGAAACAGAATGTGGTAGGCAATTCTGAAAGTCAATGTCTGACTTAAAGCCAAAATTAAAGTTTAACTCAAGTGAGCCCATCAAAGAGAGTTAAAGAAACTTTGCATAACAGAGAACTAATTTAAAAGTTTACTGTAAGTGCTAAATAAACAGACAGCTTGGCAAATTTACAGCAGTCTATGATGAGTGTTCATCAAAACACAATCTATATCCCAATTGTCCATATGTAGGAGGGACAGTCCCCATTTTGGACACAAAGCCCTCTGTTCCTATTTTCTTTCCTATTATCCTTTTTTTTCTAGGAGCTCCATATTGTAAAGTATATAACAGCTTTAATACTCACAGTAATGTTTGTCTTAAGAAATCAGTCTGTATAATAAGATATATTGTTCATGTTCTAATTTGTATTTTAGTAGAATACATTTGCCTAAAAATCATCTAAAATTGCTCAGCACAGCCCCACCTCTGGCCATACCCACACTCACAAATGAAAGTGTCCCTATTTGTCTATTTTAACTGTTAGGGGACATCCTATCATAGTACCAAGGGTTTATTCACTAAGAACCGATTAGGCCTGAGAACAACTCTATCTGAAATCTGGTGTTATTCAGCAGTGCCAATTTGGTCAAACTCCCTGGGCTTAAAACTATAATATTGTATATAGTATATTGGTCAATTAAGCAAAACTTGTTTCATCTCTGGTTCTTCAATTCCCCTTAGTTAAAAAGCCTGTAAACCTTATTGAGGCAACCTCAATTTATACTCAGTTTGGCTTGGGACAACTCAGTGATTATCTGAAGAAAAAAAGAAAAGATTTCACCAAGTGCACCAACTGTAATCCCCCCAAATGTTCACTAAGGTAAAACAAACCCATTAAAACCAAAAAACGTGGCTCAAAAACTGCCCCCAAATAAATATTTTCAATAATTAGCATCTATGGGTATTCATGAAAAGTAATTCAATTTGAACTTGATCGAGTACAACAAAGACTGTATTTTGTAACCTCTTCATAAGCAAGTTTAGGAGAAACATTTTAGCAACAGGTGAATAAGGTTTCTTTGATCTGAGCTCCTGAGTCAACATTCCATTCAAGTTAAAAGGGGAGTGAACTCAAAGCAAGTTTGGGATTGCCTGGCAATAGGCCCCATCCACTGACAGCATTGCGGTGTCATGTTTTTTTCTGTTTTGTCCTAATTAAAGGGATATTATAGTCACCAGAACAACTACAGCTTATTGTAGTTGTTCTGGTGAGTATAGCCAGTCCCTGAAGGTTTTTTAATGCAAACAATGTATTTTCAGTGAAAATATAGTGTTTACATTACAACCTAGGAATGCCTCTAGTAGAAACTCCTCAGATGAGTACTAGAGGTACTTCCTGGATTAGTGCTGCACAGTGTGCACTGACGTTCAGCGTCACACTGAACTTTCCTTATAGATATGCATTGATTCAATGCATCTCTATGAGGAGATGCTGAGTGGGCTGGGCAGCATTTGGCTTTGACCCCTGCCTCTTTGAGTGAGATCATCAGAATTGACAATTTCAGCCAGGCCAATGCTTTCCTATGGGAAAGCATTGTGATAGGCTGAGATCATCAATTCTGTTGATGTCAGGCAAGGAGGCGGATCGATGGCGGGGGCCAAACGTGGGGTGCCCTGCGTGGTGCTGGAAAAAGGTGACTAAATCAATTTTCTACCCAGGTTATAGGGTTTATAGGTTTTAGAACTATAGTGTCAGGAATACACGTTTGTGTTCCTGACACCATAGTGCCCTTTTAAACTGTGGACGTTAATAAATCTTATTTTCTGGTTATATATCCTATTATACTCCACAGTATTTAAATGTTCATCGCAGATCAATTAATCATAAATCAATCTCTCCTTCTAGACAACATACTAAAATAACCATTCATTGTGTTTGTAATATTTCTTTGTAAAGACCTACACTCACATCTGAAAATTCAAATTTTTAGAAGGCCATTGGCCTTCTATAGTTCAACATTTAAATTCCTGTCTTTCTGATATTGTTAAATTATTTTTCAATAGTACACAATACGTGCCTGTAACAAACACCTTTCATAAACCCTCACATAATAGCAAAGTTAGCAGCAATAAATGGAACTTAATAAACTGTAGTGTCTATTTACTAAATAAGTGTTATGGTAAATTAAAATCTTCCAAAACGGTTGTTATGGTGCCAGAAGGCCCATGGGCACTCACTCACCTTAAGGAGTTAAGCATCCAGCATTAGATCTGCAGTTCCTTCAGGCGCCATCTGGCTTCTGATATTGAGTTTCAGGAAGCGATGAATGCCACTAGGTAGGGGAGCCGCTTTTTTATGAATGGAGAGCTGTTGTTTGGCGTAGAGCAGCGGTAGGCAACCTTCATTCAGCACTCTACATGTTGTGGACTTCTTCTCCCATAATGCTCTTACAGCTATAATGCTTGCAAACCTTCAGGGGAGATGCAGTCCACAACATCTGGAGTAGTAAAGCTTGCCTATCCCTTGTTACTTAAAGCATCAGCTTTAGCCAAATTGTGGCCTGGCTGGCGGCACTCCGCGCTTCCTGAAACTCAATGTCAGAAGCTGGAAACTGCAGATCCAGCGCATAACCCTTTAAGGTAAGAAAGCACCTCAGGACCTCCAGGCCAGGGCCGGACTGGCCCACCGGGATACCGGGAAATTTCCCGGTGGGCCGCAGCATCTGGGGGCTGCGCTGCGCATGTATGTGCCACCGGTTGGCCGGTCCGGTGGCACACACTCTGAGGGGGCCGGTGGGCTGACAGCGGCATTCCACGCTGGAGCCGCCGGGCGGCAGCCTCACCGGTCCGGCGGCACTCCTGTCACTGATGCTGAGGAGTGAAGAGCATGTCACTCTACCATGCTCCCTCGCGGTTCCCACAATTCCCAGCACACCATGTGCTGGGGATTGTGGGAACCGCGAGGGAGCATGGTAGAGAGACATGCTCCTCCCTCCTCCTTCAGTGCTCACTCCTCAGCATCAGTGACAGGAGTGCCGCCGGAACGGTGAGGCTGCCACCCGGCCCGACAGCTCCAGCGTGGAATGCGGCCGGCCCCCCTGACTCCTCTCAGGTAAATGGGAGGGGGAAGACGGGAATAAAAAGACACAAGGGGAGGGGGAAAATAAAACAGAGGGGGAATAGACACAGGGGAAAGAGGGAGAAAGAGACAGGGGGAAGAGTGAGAGACAGGGGGAGAAAGAGGGGGAATAGAGAGATGGTGGAGGGAGGAAAAGAGACAGAGGGGAAGAGAGATGTGGGGGAGAGACAGGGAAAGGGGGGGAGAAAGAGACAGAGGGGAAGAGAGATGTGAGGGAGAGACAGGGAAGGGGGGAGAAAGAGACAGAGGGGAAGAGAGAGACAGAGGGAGAAAGGAGAGAGACACACAAGGGGAGGGGGAGAAAGAGACAGAGGGGGAAAGGAGAGAGACACACACGGGGAAAGGGAGAAAGAGGCAGAGGGGGAAAGGAGAGGGACACACAAGGGGAGGGGGAGAAAGAGGCAGAGGGGGAATAGAGAGACTGGAAAGGAGAGGGGAGACATGGACACAGAGGAGCAGTGAGGGGGAGAAAGAAACATACAGAGTGACTGAGGGGAGACAAAAAGGCACACAGAGGGGCTGGAGATAAAGAGACACACATAGGGGCTGTATATATCACTGGATCGGGGGGGGGAGGCAACAGGGCAATTCCCCCCCTCACGAGGCTCTCCCCTGCCAGCCGATCTCCCTCCCCGTTCCACAGGCACTGTGCGGCACACACTGCCCCCATACACACACTGCCCCCACACACACCACACATATTCACACACTGCCCCCATATACACATTGCCCCATACAAACACACTGCCCCCCACACATACACAGCCCCCCACACACACACACAGCCCCCCTATACACACATTGCCCCAAACAACCTACACATTCACACACTACACCCCCCCTACACACACATACACTGAACCTTTCACACACACTGCACCCATCACACATTGCACCACTGCTCCTATACCCTACTACAGCCCCATATCCCAGCAGACCCCAGGTAAGTTGTCAAACTGTTCTTAAACGGTTGACTACTTACTCTGGGAGGGGGTCCTGGCACTCCTTGCACCATAACCACTACACACAGCAGTAGTGGTTATTGGGCATGGATTATTTCTTTAAATAATCTACAAGTGCCCCTCCCGGGATCAGGCTCTGGATCCACCACTGGTATATGACATGTATATTAATGTGTATTAGTTTAATACATATATATATATATATATATAAATGCCTATTATATTTACACATATATTAATGTACATTTATATATGCATAATACACAGATAAATGTCATTAATATGTACCATTTGTAATGAGCAGATATTGGTCCAGTCTTGTTGCTAGATGCAGACTCCATCACAATAAAATATTTAAAGTGAAGAGCGCACCCACAGGACTTCAAAATAAACAAGATAACGTCATTTCTTTACAGTTATGCCCTACATACATTCACCATTTCAGTCCCATTACCAAGCTTTCCTTAATATGTCAAGGTAGTTGGACTGAAACATTGATTACATGCAAAGGCACGTCTGCTTAAAATAAATCTGCACTTTTGTTTATTTTGAAGCCTATGAGTGCTTTTTTTTACGTTGGAGTAATAATTTTTAATTTTAAGTTCTCTTTTCTAACTCTGTATCTGCACACTATGCTGGCGCAACGCATTATGGGGCTGGTAAATATTTTTTTTCCAGGGCTGCTTTTAATTCCCAGTCCGGCACTGCTCCAGGCACTAGAACTACTTCTTACTTTGTAGATGAGTTGTGAATATATGCAATTTATTTCTCTTTTTAATGTCCCCTCTCTGCTGGTTTGGATAATGCACCCACTAAACACTCTCAGCCTATCACAATCTCCCACTGCTGATATAAATGCCACGACAAGGGTAGTCTACAGTTGTGGCTAAGCAGCCTCAATCATTTTCTAACAGTTTAACATTGAGTGGAAGGACAGTGCTAAGGGGCTCAATGCACTATAACAACTTCAATGTGATTGAGTGGTTATAGTGTCTATAGTGTCCCTTTAAGAGTACAGACAACATAGGAATCAAGTTTTAATTTTTGATTTAAAAATTTAAATGCTGCTTTCAAAATGTCCCATTTTAAACCCTAATAGATTTGCTAGAACAATCCCCTTAAGGTCCCACTATAATTCTATTTTTTTTTTTTTTAAATATGTATAGCTATTTTTGGCTAATATTAATCAGGCATTTTTAAATGTGCATAGAACCTTAATAAACAACACAGAAAATGTTTTCTCATGTATATATATAAAAAACAAATTAAAAAAAAAAACACCTTCACTTATCTACACAGCTATCTAATCCAACATTACCATCTGCTTTCTCATTTTACGGCTCCGTCACTCACCCATATTGCATCCTCGCACATTATGACATTATGACTATTACATTTTTTTTTTCATTTCCAATCTCCGATTGGCCTGTGCCAAGCTGTCAGTTTACATAGTTGTATTTTGCTGTATTCTCTCTGTAAGGCTGAGGCCCTGGGAAAACTTGGGAACAAAATAGCCATAACAGTTTGCAAATTCTTTTCAGCAGACTATGAGATTTGTAGCAGACTTCAAGTTCTATTTTAGGTCTTTATGTCTGCTCATAGATTTATTTATTTTTATTCAGGAAGACAGAGTCACGACTAACTTTTTAGACTCCCTTCTGCAATATATTTCTGGAAATTAGTCAGTGGGATAAAGAGTGCTTAGGGCAAGTGTAAGTTACATTTACAGCTTGTGTTTCTACCCTTTCAAACACACTGCATCCTAACAGTCTCTTATCATTTTCCCTTTTCACAGTTGAGAATTCTGAGTTGCAGCTTAATAAATTATAACACTTTTGTTGCTGTTTCTGATCTGCAGGGTATTTCCAAGTAACCCATACACTCTCCTTATGAATACATTAATTTCCTGTCTGTGTTTCTTTTACTTTTCAACTTCATTTACCACCTCATCATCTCACAGGCCAAATTGTGTCTTTTTTCATGAACCCCTACCTATCCAACATCCTTAAAGTCAACAGCAACTTATTAACCTCTTTCTCTTCTACCCATCATGTGTGCCCCCTTTATTATCAATGCCCTGTGACCTAGCACAACTCAATAGCACCTTGTGGCAGAGCATGATGGAGTTGTGGTCTACAAAATTGTGAATGCCAGAAGCCCAAATCCTTTTTTCTGTACTCACTTTTGAAGCCTACCCACATCTAGCCAGTGATAGTGATCCCTACCACCCTGCATAGACAAGCATCATAGGCTTTATAGTCCATAATAGAACCCCTATCACTCTCCATAGACAAGTATCATATGGTTTATAGTCCATAATATAATCCCTACCACCCTCCATGGACCAGTATCATAGGCTTTATAGTCCATAATATCAGGGTATCCATAGTTCACCTATATCTGGCAGTGACCCCTACATATGGTGGTCTGTGTCTTACAGACACTATGAGCCCCCCCTCCCCCAGACCCCACATCACCTGCCCCATCTCCTGTGTACCTAGTTCTACATGGGTGCCCTCATGCACATCACTGCAGCCTACCCCTTGCCCCTTGAGTGTATCCAATTTAACCCAGTATCTTTCTATCTCTCTCTGCACTTTTCCTGCACCCCTTCCCTTTCACCTACCCTTCTCCTGCTCCCAGATTCCTCCTCTCTGTGCCCGGTGTCCCCCTCTTCTCCCGGAGCCAAACACTGACCGTACAGCTGTTCAAGAACTGCTGCATTAGAGCCGGTCGTCTCCCCCTCTGTTCTGAAAGTCTGTGGAAGCGTCCGAGCCGCAGTCCAAGAGGAACAAGCAAAACAACCGGAGAGGACTGTACCAAGTGTTAAGTTAGAGGGGGGAGGGCAGCTGCACAGCCTATGATCAGCTGCAAAACTGCTGTGCATGGGGATGAAAGGAAGGAGGGGGGACTGTCAATAGAAGGCAAGAGATCGTCAGATGGGGGCCTTGCAAAAAGTCAGACAGACTTACTACAAGAGCAATAAACTGCGCATGGAGAGAAATATTGAGAAACATTTTAACAGAATAAACAAAAGAAAATAATTGTGGGGAGACACAATGTTCACTGGTTTCCAGTGGGGAAGTAATTATTGGATAGTACTATCTCTGCTAAAGCTGGTACATATCTTCCATCACATTTCATTAAAACTTGTGTTTTGATAGAAAGAATCATAGATAAAGAGAGAAAGCGAAAATGGGTTAGGAGGAGGGGTGCAGACAGAGATAGGGGATGGGAAGGAAATGGATTATGTAAGAACACAAACACACAAGGTCAGCTAGTGGGATGAAGATAAATCAGGGGCATGGAGAGAAAATGCAGATAAAAAAAGAGGGATGGGGAGAGGGAATTGGGCCTGGAGTCCAGGAACAGAGATGCAGAGATCCAGGGATTATTCTGGTGTAAAAGATAGGGGCATGCTCACTGTGTGAAAGGGATACAGTGAGAGGTAAAGGAGATGGACTTTGGTGACAGCTGGTGGCTTTATATAAGATTCTAATACTGGCTGGGACTGTCCCTGCTTATTGTTCTGTGGGTGGAATCCAGTATGAAGCTGAAGAATTAGATTAACCCATTCAATATTATATAAATATCAGGACTGTCATAGTAAGGGATTTTCAGAACTCTGGTCGTGGAGAGGTTAATAAAGGTTTCTCAATGCTAAGTGCATTCATAGTCCCTATAAACTAGACACACAGTTGCTATAGTATCTCAGGCAGCTAGCTATATGTTCCTTGTGTTGCTGGGAGTTCAGTTGAATTCCAACAGGATGTACAGTGCACATGATGCCAGAAGAAAATCTTTAATTAAATAATTGATTTCCTCAAACATCATGTGAACTGTAGCTATTACAAGGCAGCACTATTTATGCACATCCCGACAGCTTGTGGATCTTAGGTGGCTGAGTTGGCAACTGTAAAATACACAGACAGGGAATGTAGCAATATATTTTATAAAGTAGAAAAAGTACCTAAAGTATCAATAGGGAAATCCCTCAAATGGATTGCCATGGAGCAGAATCATTAACTTACCAAAACTCTTTTTTTTTCTTCAACATTTGTATTTATCAGTTTGTATTTTAGAATGGAAAGTAGTCCCCAGCCCTGGCTGCCTCTACAACCACTGCAATGTCGAAACTGCCAGTAATAAGCTTGAGGGAAAAGGAAAGAGCTCAAATATGTACAAAAGAGCTCTCTGATTTCTAAACATGGATGACCCCAGGGAAACCAAAGGAACATTTTGTTTAAAAAATAAATAAAAAAAAAAACATTTAGCAATATGCATTTTAGTTATGACTATTCAAGTATGGCTTTGACAAGCCGAACACAAAATATGTATATTCCCCAATGTGAGAATAAGAGATTTGCTAATTTTAGGCCAATGTTAAAAGACTGACAACATTCTCCATTTCAGCTACCCTTGCTGAATATTTTAGGATTTGTTTACGAATTGTGTCAGGAAGACAAGAGAGTACATTTTAGACTAAACAAGCAAGTGGGAAAAATAGCTGGCTTGGAGATTTTTTTTCCAATGTACATTTTGCTTAAAATATGTAATTACCTTTCAGTTCTTCACAATAATCTCCATAACACCTCTTTACAGCTATATATATATATACTGCAATATGTTGCCTTGCACACAACTTTGCAACAAAATATTGTATAAAAAAAAGAGTCAGGGTTATACAATAAATTGTTAATTTCAAGAAATTCTAAGTGAATTTCAAAAATGTAGGCCTGAAGTCTGCTATGTCCACTATTTGGCTATTTGGCCCTAAGTTTAAAATTCACTTTAAAGAATAACTCTTTACCAAAACGATAGTGATATAAATTGGCATACAGAACCAGAGAGAAATAGGCGCTCTCTATGACACAATAGATAAGTGAGGGCTGCTGTATACAGTAAGAGGATTCCCAAACCTCGTGTTACAAAAAGCAAAAGGAATAGGAAGAGTATACTGAGCCCAAAGTTATACGAACATACAGCTATAATATGAAGCGGCTGATTGAAGGAAGATAGGAAGATATTCAATTAATCTCTGTAGGAGAGCCTTCAGAGATTAATTGAATATCTTCCTACTCTGAAAAAACTGTACTGCACTATTATTGTCTGTTTTTTTTAATTTTATTATCCTGAGGTTTTCAATCAGCCGCTTCATATTATAGCTGTATGTACGTATAACTTTGGGCGCAGTATACTCTTTATTCCTTTTGCTTTATATAAATTAGCATGGTTAAAATGAGAATTGTAAGGAATTCAAAGTGAATTTAAAATGTAAAGGGTTATTTCAAGCACAATGACCACTTTAGTTTTTTTAAGTGGTCATTTAGCTTGGAGCCTGTATGAGTAGTGTTTTTTTTTAATATGAAATCAGTATGAGGCCTTAAGCCAGATGTCGTTCATCGTTCTTCAGAATCGACCTGGTGCCAGCCAGGACCCAGATCAGAGGGCAAACATTTGCCCCATTGCCAGGAAATGGCGTCAGGGTACTCCTAGAGGTCTGTAATTGTGATAATCCTTGGAGAATCCCTTTCAGCTTAAAATAGTTGAACTGGAAAAATTGTTAGCCATGTTTCTAGTTTGGCTATTCTGGACTCAACTTTAAATTAACGACAATTTTCATTTAGATAAATAATCCTGTTGGTGCTAGTGTGCTACATGCGTATCACCTCTAGGAAGTAGGCTTCAAACCACATAAATGTATTACTTATGTGCAGGTGCCCAGAGCTTTAACCCATTAATGTCTTAAGTAACATAGTCAGAATATGTCTTTGTGGGTAGTACACTGCTATGTGCCTAAATATGAGTCCTGTTTAGGTAAGTCCTTCCTTGTCAAGCGAAGATAAGAAAGCAGTCAGCAAGACTAGGTGTAGACTACTAAACTTTGTGGCTGCAGATGCTGGTGCAGCAAGAATGTGTGTGTAGTGAGCATTGCAACAAACTTGACATCCACTGCAGTATCAATGTATGTTGTCAGAGAGATTGGTACATCACAGAAGGCTACAACATGGATAACCATGGATGGGAGGTCACAATAAAGTTTATAGGGTCTATAGGGGAAGAGGAGACCCACAGGATTTATAATTACTACTACAGTGGGAGCCAGGTACAAGAGGAACAATTGAGACTAAAGTGATAATAGAAGAGACCACAAAAGGGACAATTCGAACTACAGGAGACACCATAAGGTCAACAATAGGGACAAAAATACTACAAGATCATCATCATTGTTGGTAAATTATTTGATGGGTTATTGAAGGGATACTCTAGGCACCATAACCACATCATCTCATTAAATTGGTTATGATGCATGTAGTCTTCTGGTGCCATCCTATTGTTCAGTATTAAACCATTTTGCGTTCTGTTTAACACTGAATGAGGGTAGTCATGATTGAGGACACATAATACATGCATGGAAATTACAGCAAAAATGCTAAATAGCCGTCCTTGGGTGACGTCCTTTAGAAATTGAACGGAGTACCTGGACAGACAGCGTCTAAAGGTGTGTTTTAATTTAAATCGAATACTTAAGGAAATATTAGCTTTAAAATGGCTAATCTCTCAGTTAACAGTTTGTTGATTCAAGGATAAATATTACTTTATTCAAGAAGTATATATTTCCTATTTTGTGGTAAATTGAAAATCACTTTCACTTGTTTTTTTAACTTTCTTTTAAATCAAAAGTAGAAGTTGAGATGTGTGAAAGGCTGAATTTGATGGGTTTGAGTCTTTTTTTTGTGGCTATATTACTGTGTAATATGAAGGACAATAAGAGACCTGACTTAGGAGCAGAGGACTGTCAGGAAACTGACAGGGATCCAATACGCAGAGTGCGCACAGAAGGAGGTACGTATACCGGACCTTAGAATGGCCGGACTAACGTAAGGACAAAGCAAGAATAGTCAAAAGGTAAGCCGAGGTCAAGGGAGCCGGAGGACAGGTAAGCGAGATACAAGCCGAGTCAAAGGAGAGGAGAGGACAACAAGACAAAAGACAAGCAAGGGTCAAAACCAGAAACACTAGATAAAGAACGCGCTGAGTGACTAGCAAGCTAGAACCACGACAGGGCAATGAGCAGTAGTAAAGGTTTCCTTTAAATACCCTGTACATAAATAGAGACCACGCCCCCAAAAGGTCCGGAATAGCGGTTCCCGGCACTTTATGCAAATGCCGACGTCATGACGTCGACGCTAGCCGTCGCGTCATAAAAGGGGGAGGAGCTAGCGCGGCCGGCGCGAAAACGGCCGAAATATGCCGAAATGCTAGGGGAAGGGAGCCCCTAAGCAGAGAGGATGTCCTCCCTGGATACATCACCAACAGGTACCCTGACAGTACCCCCCCTTCTAGAAACGCCCACCGGGCGGATGGGACCTGGCTTAGAAGGAAAACGAACGTGGAAGGCCCGAAGAAGACGAGGAGCATGCACGTCTATACCAGGAACCCAAGACCTCTCTTCTGGACCATAACCTTTCCAGTCTATGAGGTATTGCAGCTTCCCCCTAGAAATACGAGAATCAAGGATGGACTTGATGATATATTCCTCCTGACCATCCACACGGACCGAGGATGGAGGAGTAGAGCGGGAGGAAAATCTGTTACAAACAAGAGGTTTCAATAACGACACATGAAAAGAGTTAGGGATGCGTAGAGTAGGAGGTAGATCCAGCAAATAAGAAACCGGGTTGATCCTCCTCAGTACCCTGTAAGGACCAATGTAACGAGGAGCAAACTTCAAGGAAGGAACTTTCAGGCGAATGTGTCTGGTACACAACCAGACCCTATCCCCCGGAGAAAAAATAGGAGCAGGACGTCTACGCCTATCAGCATGTGACTTAAACACCGCGGAACTACGTTCAAGAATTTGTCGAGTCTGATCCCACAACTTTCTCAGGTTGGCTATATGAATATCAACCGACGGTATACCCTGGGAAGGAGACACCGACGGAAGAACAGTAGGGTTAAAGCCATAGTTCAAGAAAAAGGGGCTATTATGAGTGGAACCACAAACAAGGTTGTTGTGAGCAAACTCCGCCCAAGGAATCAGACCGACCCAGTCATCCTGGTGTTCAGAAACAAAACAACGTAGATATTGCTCAATTTTTTGGTTAGTGCGTTCGGCTGCTCCGTTAGATTGAGGATGATAGGCCGAAGAAAAATTCAGTTTGATGCCCAACTGTGAACAGAAGGATCTCCAAAAACGGGAAATAAATTGGGAACCCCTGTCTGACACAATCTCATTGGGAATACCATGTAAACGGAAAATTTCTCTAGCAAATATCACGGCCAGTTCGGGGGAGGACGGAAGTTTAGGCAAGGGAATGAAATGAGCCATTTTAGTAAACCTGTCAAGGACCGTGAGTATAACTGTATGCCTATTGGAAGCTGGTAGATCAACAATAAAATCCATAGCCAAGCAAGCCCAAGGTTTGTTGGGAACGACTAAGGGCTGCAATAAACCACAAGGGAGATCCCGCGGAAGTTTATTCCTGACACAAACATTGCAAGCCTTGACAAAGTCTTCCACATCCCTACGTAAACCGGGCCACCAGAAGTCTTTTGAGATCAGGCAGTAAGTTTTGTGGATGCCGGGGTGACCAGCGATCTTGCTATCGTGGAAACAGCGAATAATGTCCACTTGGAATTTGGGAGACACGAACAAGCGGCCCACAGGAGTACGTTCGGGAGCAAGAGATTGTTCGTTCTGAATATCAGCGAGCAATGGAGAGTGTATTTTGACATTGGTGTTGGCGATAATATTGACTTCAGGAATAATAGGGAACAAAGTATCCTCTGTAGAGGTGGTAGGTTCGTGCTGACGTGACAAAGCGTCTGCCTTAGTGTTCTTAGAACCAGGCCTGTAAGTAAGCACATAATTAAAGTGTGTAAGGAACATAGACCAACGTGCCTGCCTGGCAGATAATCTTTTGGCCTCCCCATATACGATAAATTTTTGTGGTCAGTCAAGATAGTAACTGGGAGGACGGTGCCCTCTAACAAATGTCTCCATTCCTTTAATGCCATAATGATAGCTAAAAGTTCTCTATCACCAATGTCATATCTCCTTTCAGTGTGTGACAGTTTCTTGGAAAAAAAACCGCAAGGGTGCAGCGGCTTATCTAAACTTTGTCTTTGGGATAACACTGCGCCTATCCCTGTTTCAGACGCATCAACTTCAAGTAAAAAGGGTAGAGAGGTATCAGGATGAACTAATACAGGTGCTGAGGCAAAAGACTGTTTGAGCGTTTCGAAAGCAGATAAAGCCTCAGTAGACCAGGTTTTGGTATCGGCTCCTTGTTTGGTCATATTAGTGATAGGAGCGATAACAGAGGAGTACCCTTTAATAAAACGTCTGTAATAATTAGAAAATCCAAGAAATCTTTGTATGGCTTTGAGTCCCTTAGGTAAAGGCCAATCTAAAATCGATTTTAGTTTGGTCGGGTCCATCATAAACCCGTCTTTGGAAATTACGTAACCTAAGAAAGTTACCTGAGACTGGTCAAAGCTACATTTTTCCAATTTACAATACAATCCATGTTGTAAAAGTTTCTGTAATACCTTTCTGACTTGTCTATGATGTGAATTAATGTCTCTAGAATGGATTAGTATATCATCCAAATATACAATTACACATTCATGTTGGAATTCTCTAAGAACTTCATTGATCAAGTCTTGGAAGACGGCCGGGGCGTTACAAAGCCCAAACGGCATTACGGTATACTCATAATGCCCGTAACGGGTATTAAATGCTGTCATCCATTCATCTCCTTGTTTAATTCGCACTAAGTTATATGCTCCTCTTAAGTCAAGTTTAGTAAAAATACTCGAGCCCTTTAGTCTGTCAAAGAGTTCAGTAATCAAAGGAATAGGGTAAGCATTTCTGATAGTAATTTTGTTCAATCCCCGATAGTCTATACAAGGACGTAAGGTACCGTCTTTCTTTTCTACAAAAAAGAAACCCGCCCCCGCCGGAGAAGAAGACTTTCTAATAAATCCCTTGTCTAAATTCTCCTTGATATATTCCTCTAAAACTAAGTTTTCCTTGGTGGATAGAGGGTATACCGTACCCCTGGGAGGCATAGTACCAGGGAAAAGTTTAATAGAACAGTCATAAGACCGGTGGGGAGGTAAAGTATCCGCCTTACCCTTGTCAAATACAGATTTGAGGTCTAGATATTGTAATGGTATCTGAACGTCTGTGGATTGAGAAGTGTTAGCATAAGAGTTCACGGGGCAAACAGAAGTAACTCTCTGCAGACATTCTTTCCTACAACCCATACCCCAAGAAACGATTTCTCCACCCTCCCAGTCAATCTGAGGGTTGTGTCTCTTGAGCCAAGAATATCCTAGAACCACTGGGACTGCCGGGGAGGAAATTAACAGAAGGGAAATCAACTCTTCGTGGAAAATACCAACAGTAAGCTTAACGGGTTCGGTCTCATGGAATATTACTGGTTCAGATAAAGGTCTACCATCTATGGCCTCAACGGCCAAGGGTGTATCTCTCAATTGGAATGGGATACAATGCTTATTAGCGAAAGTTTGGTCTATAAAGCTTTCTGCTGCTCCAGAATCTAATAATGCCATCGTAGCAATAAACCCCTTTTCCCAAGCTAGAGAGACAGGAATCAGAAGCCTATGGTCTTTTTTATTATGCATAGAGGACAGTAATGAAACACCCAAGGCCCGTCCTCTAAGGGAACTTAGGTGCGAGCGTTTCCCGGACGATTAGGGCAACTGAGACGTAGGTGACCTCTCAGCCCGCAGTATAAACAGAGACCCTCCCTTCTTCTGTACTGTCTCTCAGCCTCAGATAAGCGAGTATTACCTATTTGCATAGGTTCTGGTGGAGTAGGATTATAGGAGCCAGGGTTCTGAAATGAGGGAGCGAGTCTTACAGGAAGTCTAGTAACTCTTTCCCGAGTGTTCTGCCTCTGTCTCATGCGTTCATCTATTCTGGAAATGAAGGATACTAAATCCTCTAAATTTTCCGGAAGTTCTCTAGTGGCAATTTCATCTAGAATTTCATCAGACAACCCATTCAAGAAAACATCCATAAAAGCTTGTTCGTTCCATTTCACTTCTGCTGCCAATGATCTAAACTCTAGAGCATATTCTACAAGGGTCCTATCTTGTTGTTTAAGGCGTAACAGGGATCTGGCCGCATTAATCTTCCTCCCTGGGGGGTCAAAGGTTCTTCTAAAAGCCGTGACAAACGCAGTGTAGTTGTAGACTAAAGGATTGTCATTCTCCCAAAGGGGATTGGCCCATCTAAGTGCTTTATCTATTAGCAGGGTTATAATAAAGCCTACCTTAGCCCTGTCAGTGGGGTAAGCCCGGGGTTGTAGTTCGAAATGTATACTTATCTGGTTTAAAAAACCACGACAAGCATCAGGCGAACCCCCATATCGTAATGGTGACGTGACATGGGAAGATGCGCCTACAGTGGCTACTTCCAAACCAGTACTTAGCGAGTGGCTAGCAGTGGAACGTATTTCTTCAGACTGGGTACTGGAGCGTGTCAACAAAGTTTGTAACGCTAAAGCCATTTGGTCCATTCTATGGTCCATGGCCTCAAATCTGGGGTCAGGAGGACTAGCACCTGCAGGATCCATCATGGCCCTGTCGTAATGTCAGGAAACTGACAGGGATCCAATACGCAGAGTGCGCACAGAAGGAGGTACGTATACCGGACCTTAGAATGGCCGGACTAACGTAAGGACAAAGCAAGAATAGTCAAAAGGTAAGCCGAGGTCAAGGGAGCCGGAGGACAGGTAAGCGAGATACAAGCCGAGTCAAAGGAGAGGAGAGGACAACAGGACAAAAGACAAGCAAGGGTCAAAACCAGAAACACTAGATAAAGAACGCGCTGAGTGACTAGCAAGCTAGAACCACGACAGGGCAATGAGCAGTAGTAAAGGTTTCCTTTAAATACCCTGTACCTAAATAGAGACCACGCCCCCAAAAGGTCCGGAATAGCGGTTCCCGGCACTTTATGCAAATGCCGACGTCATGACGTCGACGCTAGCCGTCACGTCATAAAAGGGGGAGGAGCTAGCGCGGCCGGCGCGAAAACGGCCGAAATATGCCGAAATGCTAGGGGAAGGGAGCCCCTAAGCAGAGAGGATGTCCTCCCTGGATACATCACCAACAGGTACCCTGACAAGGACATAACAGGAAGAACAAAAGTGAAGGCAGAACAGATCAATGAAGGAGAATGGAAATAGAAAAATGGGCCAAAAATAAGGGACAAGGGGTCCAGTATGAGTCGTAAATCAAAGAGGGAACACAGGATACCTTATTTCGCTTTTAAACACATCTTGCACTGTCTTGGCTGTTATTCTGACTGTCTTGGATAGTATTCAATTTATCTATGATCTAGAGTTCATTATAGGTATGTATTCCAATGTATGCCAATGTCGCTCGGCGCTGGGTTGACACCCCACCCCTGCCATCGGCACCCAACAGGAGGTTGTGGGGGTAATGGACATGCACGGTGAATGCCACTTCCTCCCCATAGGGGAGCATGGTTGCAATGCTTTCCTATGAGTAATTGATTAACATTGGATGTCATTAAACAAAGCATGAGTCCAACGTCACTTAGTTGACCTAAAGTCGCCTAACCAACAGGAAGTGCCTCTAGTGGCTGCCTGATTGACAGCCACTAGAGGCAGTCTTAGCCCTGCAAGGTAATTACTGCAGTTTCTCAGAAACTGCAATAATTACCATTGCAGGGTTATGGGGACAGGGACGGTGCGCCCAGACCACTTTAATGAGCTGAAGAGCCAGCTGGTATATCAATCCTAAACATATTTAACCTACAACGTCTGTCTTTGCTCTAGTCCGATCCTTGTTTCTGTCTATCACATGTCTAATCTTACTTGTGGGAATGCAAAAAGGGTGTTGGAATAAGGGGCACAATATTATTCTGGTTCCCTTGCGATCACAACATTTGTGACCTCTAACACAGCTCATTGCATGGGCCCTTGGGCTATATATACACTGATCAGACACAGCATTAAAAACACTGACAGGTGAAGTGAATAACACTGATTATATCATTACAATGCAGGGCAGGTCCAAGACATTGTGCTGTCTGGGTCCAAGGATGAAATGCTGTCCCCTTCCCTTAAAAAAAAAGCATGCCCACCAAAACACAATCACATCCAGGTGTATAGCGACTGCAGTGTCTCTACTGGGTGCAATGTGTGTGTAGTAAATGCATTGTGTGTGTCTATATTGTAGATGCAAAGTGTGTACTTTAGTAGTGGATGCAGTGTGTGCAGTGGCTGCAGTGTTTGTGTGTATTGTATGCAATGTGTGTAGTAAATGCATTGCATGTGTGTGTATAGTGGATGCACGGGGGTGTGTGTGTGTGTATGTAGTGAATGCAGTGTGTGTGTGTGTGTGTGTATAGTGAATGCAGAGTGTGCGTAGTGGATGCAGAGTGTGTGTGTATAGTGGATGCAGAGCGTGTTTCTTTTTCTGTTTCTTACACCTCCCCTTTGTGTGTCTCTGACTCCCCCAGCCCCATTGTATATCTCTTTCTCCCCCCAACCCCTTTGTGTTTCTTTGTCTCTCCCTCAGCCCCTCTCGGTGTCTCCCCCAGCCCATGTCTGTCCCTTCCCCAGCCCCTCCAAAATTTTCCCCAAGCCATCTGTCTCCTTTACCCTTTCTCCAGACCCTATCTTTGTGTCCCCCAGTCACTTTGTGTCTGCTTGTGTCCCTCTCCCCCCAGCCCTTTCCCTTTTCTGCCGCCCCATGTCTGTTTCCGTCCCTTCAGCCCTTGTCTGTTTCTGGCCCCCACTTGTCTGTTTCTGTACCCTCAGCCCTTGTCTGTCTTTGTGTGTGTGTGTCTGGTGCCAGCTTATCTCCCTCCCTCTTGTAACGTGGCCGTGGACTGGTGTAGAGAAACTTGTTTCCCTCTCCACGGTCTGACAGGAAGCAGTTTGGTGCTCTCTGTGAGCACTTCCTGTCAGACCGGGGAGAAGGAAGCGTGTGCAGTGTTAGTCAGATCCAGTGCCCCTGGGCTGCTGTGCCCTAAGGTGACTGCATGGCCCGCCTTATGGTAGCGCTGGCCTCATCCGGGCCCTGCACAGTGTACAGGTGAGGAAAAATACCACTGTCAAAATGCCGCCTAGAGCCATGGCAAGGCCCTATTACAATGCCACCAGTCAGGGAATGGGATACAGCAGGCAGCAAGTGAAAAGTCAGTTCTTGAAATTCATGTGTTGAACCCAGAAAAAATGGACAAGCGAAACTATTTCTTTATATATATATATATATATATATATATATATATATATATATATATGTAATATATTACTTTAACCCCTTAACGCCGTTACGGCGTTCTATGCCTTCCCGCATTAAAAGGGCTTTAAAGCCGTTGCGGCGGCATAGAACTCCATAACGGCTTGCAGCCCCAGGAGCTCAGAGGTACTTACCTCCGCCGCGATCCTCTTCTGGAGGGCTGCCTGACAGCCTAGGCAGCCCTCCCCCACCAAATGAGGCCCCCAGGGGCCATATGATCGCTCTCAAATAGCGTTCACATGGCCCCCTATAGCTGGCTGTGGATCTGCCAGCAGAGGGACTGTCTAAAATGTCAGACAGTCCCCCTGCTGGTAGGAGGTGTAAAATAAATTAATTAAACATGTTGAAAATAAAAATTATGTGTATATATGTATATATAAAATATATATATATATATATATACATTTTATATATATGTAGCATCATACGTAGTGTATTTTAATATTAATATAAGTATATATATTAGTATTAAAATACACTTAGAATGACGTTACATATATATAAAATGTATATATATTATATATATAATAGATATACACACATATATTATATATATACACGTATAATTACAATAATAAATAAATAAAATAATAAAATAAATAAATAAAATATTGAAACAAAATTTAATATAAATTATATATTCATATATAATTTCATTCTAACTGTATTTTGTTATTAATATATATATATTGGTAACAAAATACACTTAGAATGACATTCTATATATATATCTAGCTATATATAAAATACAAATAACCGCAAATATATATATATAGATAAATGCCTTTAATTATATAAAAGATTACATTAGTATTAAATACCTATAAATGCATATATATTAAAATTCTACATGTATATTTAAGTAATCTTTTAACATAATTATGTGATTTGATTAATTAAAATTTGATTGACATGCCTGACAACACAGGGAGAAAGTGCAGAGAATTTAATTTGCAAGCACTATATTTGACCCTGTAACTCTCCAAGACACCATAAAACCTGTACATAGGGGGTACTGTTTTACTCGGGAGACTTCGCTGAACTCAAATATTAGTGTTTCAAACTGGTAAATTGTATTACAACGATGATATTTTAAGTAAAAGTGACGTGTTTTGCATTTTTTACAAACGAACAGCACTTTTATGGACAATATTATTGTTGTAATATGTTTTACTGTTTTAAAACACTAATATTTGTGTTTAGTGAAGTCTCCCAAGAATAACAGTACCCCCATGTACAGGTTTTATGGTGTTTTGGAAAGTTAGAGAGTCACATATAAGGCTTGCATTTCATTTTTTTGACATTGAAATTTGCCAGGTTATGTTGCCTTTGAGAGCGTATGGTAGCCCAGGAATGAGAAGTACCCCCATGATGGCATACCATTTGCAAACGTAGACAACCCAAGGTATTGCAAGTGGGGTATGTCCAGTCTTTCTTAGTAGCCACTTAGTCACAAACACTGGCCAAATATTAGTTTTTTGCTTTTTTCACACAAAAACAAATATGAACGCTAACTTTGGCCAGTGTTTGTGACTAAGTGGCTACTAAAAAAGACTAAACATACCCCACTTTCAATACCTTGGGTTGTCTACTTTTTCAAATGGTATGCCATTATGGGGGTAATTCTCATTCCTGGGCTACCACACCGTCTCAAAGGTAACATTACTAATCTGTCAAATTTCAATTTGAAAATGGAACGTTCTATAGTTGACCCTGTAACTTTCCAAAACACCATAAAACCTGTTAATGGGGGTACTGTTTTACTGGTGAGACATCGCTGATTACAAATATGTGCGTTTGTTTGCAGTAAAACCTAACAGTATTATGACATTCACAGCTAAAATGTCAGACGGAAATACAAATTTAAAAATTATTCATAATAAATTATGTTCCAAATATGAATAGTTAATGATAAATTAAAGCCCTGTTTCTCCTGAACAAAATGATATATAATAAGTGTGGGTGCACTTAATGTGACAGTCTGTTCAACAGTGAATTACAGTTGAACAGACATATAGCGCAAATTCCAGTTTTTGTTTACGTTTTGTTTTGATCAGAACGTGCACTATTGACTCCGTCCTGAAGGGGTTAACAAAAGGACAAATAGTGACGGCTAGATGCAAAGCATCTCCAAAATGACAAATTTTTGTACCTATTAGAAGTGGAGCAAGGAAGGACAACCAGTGAACCAGCATCTGGGTCATGGACTCATTTATGCAAATGGTGAAGAGAAGAGCTACCGTAGCTCAAATTGCTGAAAAACCTAATGCACGTCCCACCTACCTAGAGATTGTTGCAGGCCATGTACACCCCTTCATGGCAATGGTGTTCCCTGATTGCAATTGCCTCTACCAGCAGGATAATGCACCCTGTCACACTGCAAAATTGTTCAGGAACGGTTAGAGTAACATGACAAGGAGTTCAAGATGTTCCTCCAAATTCCCCAGATCTAAATATGATTGAGTATCTGTGAGATTCGCTGGAACAACAAATCCAATCTATGGAAGCCCCATCTCAAAACTTGCAGGGCTTAAACGATCTGCTGGTAATGTCTTAGTGCCAGATACCACAGGTTACGAGATCTTGTGGAGCCCATACCTCAATGCATCAGAGCTGTTTTAGCAGCACAATGGGGGACCTGCACGATATTAGGCAGGTGTTTTTAATGTTGTGGCTGATCAGTGTATGTATTATTATCAACAATCATATTATCTGACCCCTGATCAATCAGACTCAAATCGTCCAAATCACTCAACTTCTACTGCCCTCTTAAAATTTTGCAATGACATCCGAATTGGCATGGAACAGGGAGACATAAAGGACCACTATAGTGCCAGGAAAACATACTCGTTTTTCTGGCACTATAGTGCCCTGAGGGTGCCCCCACCCTAAGGGTCCCCCTCCTGCCGGGCTCTGGGGAGAGGAAGGGGTTAAACTTACCTTTTTCTCCAGCACCGGGCAGGGAGCTCTCCTCCTTCTCTCCACCTCCTCTCCTCCTCTTCGGCTGAATGTGCATGCGCAGCAAGAGCCGCGCGCGCATTCAGCCAGTCTCATAGGAAAGCATTTACAATGCTTTCCTATAGACGCTGGCGTCTTCTCACTGTGAAAATCAAGAGACAGCCACTAGAGGCTGGATTAACCCATTTATAAACATAGCAGTTTTCTGAAACTGTTATGTTTATAGAAAAAAGGGTTAACCCTAGCTGGACCTGGCACCCAGACCACTTCATTAAGCTCAAGTGGTCTGGGTGCCTATTGTGGTCCTTTAACTGGAGCTATTTTCCTTGCCTTTGCCATGGCTTTTGACACAGTAGATCATGGCATTCTTTTGCGAGAACTTAAAAACTCAGGCATTGGTGATCGTCCGCTAATCTGCTTTCGATCATATGTATCAGACCGATTGCAATATGTGGCCATTTCTGATAGCGCCTCCCTCCCTCTTCCAATCACGTGTGGAGTTCCCCAAGGCTCCATATTCCGCCCCCTGCTATTCACATTATTCATAAATGATCTGCCTAACGTCTGCAAATCCTCAACTGTACACATATGCAGATGACACTGTAAACTACGCTAGTAAACCCAATCTACCGCAGCTTGAGGCTGTGCTCCAAAACCAATTCACAGAGGTAGAAAAGTGATTAGCGGTTTACAAACTCTTCCTAAACACTGACAAAAACTGTTACAATGATCCAGGGCCGTCTTTAATATTGATTGGACCCTGGGCAAGCATCTGTTTGGGCCCCCTGGGCATGCAATCACTCCCTCCACCCCAACCTAGAGGCAAAACTAATGTAGAGAGTGCCTTGGTGCAACAAAAAAAAATTCAGGCCTGCCCTGTAGCACAAGAGTAAAGAAAAGATAGATCCCCATCTGTCATACAACTCCTGCGATGCTATGCCAGGTGGGGATCTACCATCCTTGCAGGGTTGTATTTTTGAGCAGTGTTTGTGCAAATGAATGTCAGCATGTTATTGTATAGAGTGTATGTGTGCATGTAGGAGTGTATTTGTATGTACTGTTACCATTGGAATGCAGTGGTGTACTTGTGTGTAGTGTTTGCATTTTAATGCAGGGATGTGTGATTGTTTGTAGTGTTGGCTTTTAAATGCAGGTGTACTTTTGTGTGTAGAGTTGGTGTTTGTATATAATTTTAGCGTTTTAATACAGGAATGTGTTTGCATGTAATGTTTGTATTTGCATGCAGGGGGTGTTTGGATGTAGTGTTGTCTTTTAAATACATGTGTACATTTGTGTGTAGTATTAGTGTTTCAGCAAACTGGTGTGTTTGTAATGTTTGTGTTTGCAGGGGTCTGTTTGCATGTTGTGTGATTTCTATAACACATATACACATACACATTAACACGCAGATACACACATGCTCACACTGACACATGCTCACACACTCAGATACACACCCTTTGACACACAGATACAAGCACTTTGATATACACACACTGGCACATACACACACACACTGACACAGGTATATACACACACGCTCAGATACACACATACATAAAGGTATAAATGCAGGGGTGTATATGTGTACAGTGCTAGAGATGGAATCTAGGAGTGTATTTGTGTTGGCATTAAAATGCTGGGATGTATGCATTACCACACACTCAGATGCACACTTACACACACACCGAAACACACACACAGGTGCACATACAGGTGTATGAGGTATACATACACACAGAAACACAGACAAACACAGCCAGATACACACAAGGACATAAACACAGCCAAATACACACATATATATGTGTACATTTACATATTTTAATCTCTGCCTTCTAGCAGCTCTTGGACAGCAACTCCCAGCAACCTTGGCCATAATAATGTCTCAACTCTGTTCTTACATACCCTGGTCCAGAATTTGGCAAAAGTGACATTTGGAAATGGTATACAACCTTTGATAACACTTGATGCAATAATATGTTAAAATAAATACTTTTAAAATGTATATTTAATAGGGAACTGTCAGGTTCTTCTAGGATTTTTAACACGTACTTATTCCCTGTGTGTTACATTACAAACACCAACACTTGAATAAAAGTGATATCAGAAATAAGCAAAACAAAAAATATTTAGCCACCCTCCTGTCTCCTTACCTTTTGGGTACAGAAAGGTGGCTTCCCTGGGGTCCAGTGAGAGCTTGCTGGCCCAGGCTGATGGGAGTCTGCCATCAGCTTTCTCAGTCCCTCTCTCCCACAATGCTTGCATCCTCCTCCATGTGGTGTGTGCCTCCTCCCCAGCGGCACTGAGGAGGAAGTGATCAGTTCTTACTGGGAGGAAGCAATCTGACCTCACTTCCTCCCAGCATGCCCAGGAAACAAAGAGACTCACAGGGCAGTATGTGAGGATGCTAGCTGTGAGTATGTAGTCAGCCACCCCCCATATAACAGGGGCCCGGGCCGGTCCAGAGCAATATTAAAGGGCTGTGGCCCCTGATTACTGCAGGTGCCGCAGGGGGCCCATGGGGCAGCTGCCTTACGGCCCCCAGGAGTAACTGGGCCCAGGGCAGCTGCCCCTTTTGCCCCTCCTTAAAGACGGCCCTGCAATGATCTTTGGAACTGTACCTAAATTACGTAAACTACAAAATCAACAACTATGTATCAGAATAAATTCAAATAGCACACTGACAGCAGTCTGCTCTTTTAAATATCTAGGTATGTTGCTAGACCCCAATCTATCCTTTGGCCTTCACATTGAAAAAATATCTTCCAAACTTTATCCAAAACTAGGTGCCCTGTACAGAAACAAATCCTGCCTAAGCCCTACAGAAAGGAAACAGATGCAACAGTGCAACAAATGCTAATGCCGGTCATTGATTATGGGGATGTCGTGTATACACCTGCATCGCAAACCCATCTTAATAAACTTAATACGTTCTATATAATTCGTTCTGCCGCTCTTTACTTGAATGTAATTACTTTACCTACGATTGTGATGTTAAAAGAGCTAAACTGGCTGTCGCTGGAATCCCGAAGCACTCCATCTTTCCAGTCTTGTGCATAAAACATTTCTGGGAAGCTCCCACCCTACCTGAGTAGAATGCTCTCCCCAGCTGTTCCGACCTCCTATAAGCTCTAATCCAATACTAGTGCGATATTTAGCATATCGCAATACAAAAATAAAGTGGCTCAATCCTCAATTTCCTACAGACCACCGCAATTATGGAATAACCTCAGGGACACGGTCAAATCTTCATTCAATCTAAAATCTTTTAGGAGATCTATGGCAATATACCGCAGCACAGAATGCACCTGTCATGGTTGAATATATTTATTACCTGGTATGTGTTCAATTTATATATGTGTGTATATATAAATATATATATATATATATATTGTTTTTATATTGTATTTTTTGTAATATTGTATCCTACTGTAACAATGTAATGTTTTGTGGACCCAGGACATACTTGAAAAAGAGAAATCTCAATGTTTACATCCTGGTAAAATATTTTATATATAAATAAATGTATAAACATTGGGCCTTCTTGCAGTCCGAGCCCCTAGGACTGGACTGGCCTACCAGGATACCCGGAAATGTCCCAGTGGGCTGCGGCACCTGGGGGGCTGGGACCGATCAGCCAGCCCTAAATTAGGATTTCATTTAAATTTTAAATGATTTTCCCCTCTGACTCAGGCAGCCTGTGTCAGTCCAAGGGGAGCAAAGAGGGAGGAGCAGGGGGCTGGTGCGGCAGCAATTGGGGGGCTGGCGGTCGGAGGGAGACCTGTCAGTCTCCCTTCAAAATTTACAGCAATTCAGGCAGCATGGAAGCTGCTGACCTCGCTGGAATGAAGAGGCCAGACAATGACACCTTCACCTACCAGTGCCAGGTAAGCTTTGTGTGTTTGCCTGCTAGTGAGTGAGTTTGTGTGTGTATGCCTGTTAGTGAGTGAGCTTGTGTGTGTGTGCCTTCTAGTGAGTGAGCTTGTATGTGTGTCAGTGAGCTTGTCTGTAGGGATCATGTGTCTGCCGGTGAGCTTGTCTGAAGGGAGGATGAGTGTGTCTGAGCTTGTCTGTAGGGAGCATGTGTGTGTCAATAAGATTGTCTGTGGTGAGCATGTGTGTTACTGAGCTCTTCTGTAGGGAGCATGTGTGTGTCAATTGACTTGTCTGTAGGGAGCGTGTATGCGTCAGTGAGCTTGTCTGTAGTGAGCATGTGAGTTTGTCTGTACTAAATTTGTGTGTATGTACCAGTAAGCTTCTCAATGTGTGTCATTGAGATTGTCTGTCAGTGAGCCTATTTGTGTGCATCAGTGAGCTTGTGTTTCTATGTCAATGAGCTTATGTATATCAATGAGATTGTCTGTTAACCTGTGTATCAATGAGCTTGTGTTAGTGAGATTAATGTGTCTGCATGTGAGTATGATTTTCTTTATAATGTTTAATTTTATTTATTTTTATTATTAATTATAATAATTGAATTACCCCGAAATGACCAATATTTTGAAGTAGAAAAAGAAGCATACCAATAAAATATATATATATACATATATATGTATATATTATTATTATTGGTATATTTCTTTTAAAGCATACTCAAATGCAGAGTTTATATATATATATATATATATATATGATATATGATAAGCACACACACACTACATAGCACAATGACTTATGGGGCTGGCACAGATTTTTTTTCCAGGGCTGCTTTGTACCCCCAGTCTGGCCCTGCAAGCCCCATACAGCCGTATTGGCTATGCCCCCCTGATGGCGACCCTGCTCATACAACTCACATGACTAACACATGAATTCGGTAACGGGCATATGTCTGGGATCCTCTTAGGACTTCTTTTTCCAAAACTCTAGAAAGCTCATCGTTTACATGATATTACATTACTCCATTAATTAGCATTTGTGTTACTGCATAAGGGTAACAAACACAAGGTACTGCATGGTCTGTTACATTTCATAGTGCATGTGAATTACACATTGTGACCTACACCGTGCCTCCCAACATACCCAATTTTGGCGGCACTGTCCTAATTTGCCGGGTGCTGATGTTGGGAGGTATGAGTGACACTGTGCAATTCAGAGGCCATTAATCTCAGAGCAGCACTAGGACATACATGTCCAGGCCTGACCAAGATTTATTAAACTACTTTATTAAACTGCTGCCATTAGTTCACTTCACCATTAGAGTTACTAACATGCTGGAAGAGGAACTAGGAATAGGGAATTACACTGTTTCTGTCCCTCCAGCACCTCTCCGTCATGTCAGTTATCGTAAGGGGGAAGTATTAGAGTTCTAATTAGAATTAGGGACAACATACTCAAATACTAGCTGCTGCCTGTCAATATAACTCCCACGAATACCGGGCAGGCTGTCACATGTCTATCAGAGTATTGCATTAGGACTAAAAAAACCTAACCCTAACCAAAAAAAGCCCCATAAAAAACATGTAATATTTATTACATAACAGTTAAGGGTGTTAATGAAGAATAATGCCATCTCAGTGTTGTAGGGGCATTCATAACTACTCTGACTTCAGTCTCATGGCATAATTGTATATTACAGATTCTTACAGTTACATATAATATATGTAAAATGATATTATATATATATTTCATAGAACCAGCTTAAAACCAAATACTGCCCCTTTAAGGACATTTTGTTGTTGTAATATGAAGCTGTTATAATGGGAATGAGGTGATGGGAACATGAGAGAGGAAAGGTTACAAGGAATTAAAGCAATGTCCCAGTGTAAGCTTGAATACTCTCTATATGCAGTCAGGCTTGTTGACATAGAATTTACTCAACCACTATTGTACTTTATATTATAATATAGTATGATTCACATTTTTGTATATATATTTTCAAATTTAAAATCTGGAAAACAGTTTTGTTCTGTGTGATAGTTTACCTAAAACTGAAATATAATTATTTTAAGAAGGTGGCATTTTGAAGAAAATAAATAAATTGTGCTGTTTGCAAATATATTTAACCCCTCTGCAGTGGAAGTTCCATGTTTACACAGAGGAAAAACCCTAATGGCATTACAAAAAACTAACAATTGGCTACTATTTGTGAGACACTAACACTTTGTAAAGTTCACACCGTGTGTAGAACCACTACTTACCCATTACCTGTAGCCTATTGGAGGTCCCTCAAAGTTCATCATCTGCATGAGTGTACTGGCTGATAGCATGGCTGCTGTCAGTGGGCTATTGCTGGCTGCTTTACTAGTGTGGTAGTCCTGCCAGAGCTGGATTTTCCATAAGTCCGCCAAGGCCACAGTCTCGGAGCAGCAGGCAGGAAAGGGGAGGCTTGGCCTATGGGAAATAAGATCTCCCTCACCGGCCAATCCATTCTCCTCCTTTGTGTGGCTGGGTACGACAGGTGATATTTCCCTGGCTGGCACCTGCAGGGCTTTTGCTTGAATAGAGGGATGCTCTCCCTTAACTGTACTATATCAGAGAGTTGTTGTGGATACCACGGCAACAATCTGATACATTTCCCACCGGATCACCAGGGAACTGGATTCCCCCTCTTCCTGGACCAGGTTAAGCTCCAGAGAGGGGGAAGAAACTTTTAGTCAGCTCCTTTCACATCACTATAGCCCTCTCACTCCACCTCAGCCCATCATCCACTACAACCCCTGTCACCCCACTAAGCTTTTGTCACCCCACTCCAGCCATTGTCATCCCACTACAGCCCTTGTTACCGGAGTATAGCCCCTGGCACTCCACTATAGCCCCTTTCACCCCACTATAGTTCTTGTCACCCCCCTATATCCTCTGTCACCACACTCTACCCACTACCCACCCCACAATAGTCCCTGTCCTACCACTACAGACTCCTCCTCACTATCCACTCACTACAGCCAAATCTGTCCCAGTACAGGCCCTATCCACCCACTATAGCCACTATTACTCAACTATAGCCACTACCACCCACTAAAGCCTCTATTCCCCCACTAGAGACCCAGAATGCAACCCCACAAGCAGCCACCCACAAACATGCAACCCCACAAGCAGCATTTCCACAAACATACAACACCACAAGCAGCCTCTGCACACACATGCAAAACATTATGGGATATGCACTATTTTTGAGACATGCTTAGATCAGAATTGAAAAAAATGATTTGTAGGGTGCTAATGTAAAATGAGCTACTATTTTTGAGGAGGGGAGGAGGAGAATGGGGTACTACATATTGGGTGGAAAGGTGTAGAATGGGGTACTATCTTTTGACCCCCTACACACACGCCCCTTTATGTAAATCAGCCCTTTACACACAGGTCCCTACATTCACACATACCAACTCTCCACAAACACATGCCTCTGCATTCAAACACATGGACACACACATAAAAAAAGTAAAACTTTTATTTATTCTATTTTAATGCATAGTAGTGACATGGACACTATAACATTAGGTGTAAATTTGTATTCCTAATGCTGTAATGTTCCTTTAATCTCTTTTGGGATTAATAATAATGCAAGTTTTAAAATGGTTGGAGGTATTGGATGAGGGGAGTGTGCCCAGGGAGAGGTACTGTGATGATGTTTCACACAGGGTGCCTAAAGTCCCAAACTACTTATGATTGTAAGTAGTTTTTTTGTTTTTTTTTTAGTGCTTTAAGGAATGGTTTCTTTTCAATGTGTTTTCTATTTTTTCTGTTATGTCTCTCCCTGTGATGTCACACATATATAATTAATTATGCAAATTAGCATGGTCATAATTGTTTTCCCAAGAAAAGTGCCAACAACCCTACATACATCAACAAACACAATCGCTAAAGTATAAGTTTGGCAGTGGCAGCATCATCCCAAGGGGGACATTTCGTCAATGGGGCCTGGGAATCTTGAAAGAACTGATGGATGGAGCAAAATACAATTCAATATTTAATGCAGTTGAGCCTTTTCTGCAAAGCAGCTAAAACTTGGGAGAAAGTTCACCTCTCAGCAGAACAATGATCACAGGCAAAGGCAAACAAAAATGTGAATATCCTACACTGGCCCAGTCAATATCCTGATCTCAATCATACTGAAAATCGTTGGCACTATTAAAGTCCACAAGAGCCACTCTAGCAACCTGGAGTAAATCTAGCAAGAATAATGGGAATAAACTACTACCAGCCATTGTGTAAAGCTGCTAGAAACTTATCCCAAAAAAGTTAAAAGTATTATTACAGCAAACATTGGATCACTTAATATTAATATGATTGTGTTCAATATATATACACACAGCATATTTCAGTTATTTTTCTCTATCTAATCAGAAATACCCAATGCTGCCATTAAAATTTGCTTAGACACAGCATAGACTGGTACTGGACTGCCCTTCCTCATCTGGCCAAATAGCGGCATAGGCTAAATAAAGCGGACGGGACCCCTACTTCATGCTGCAACTGCTTTTAAACACTGCCGTGATATCAGTTTGTTTTTTGTTTTCATTGTATTTTCCTGATGTTTGTCCCCAGTGATTTTACAGCTTGTAGGATATTGATAGAATCTCTCATTACGCCCATGTCCAGATATATTCTCTTCCTTGCAAGCCTACGCTACAGGCTAGATCTAGATAAGTCTACTTAACATGTTCATTATTATAACTTTATGCCTCTTAGAATATGCGGTTATCCTGAATGCCTCACAATGAGTGCTGTGTTTCTCCAATTACCTTGTCAATGCTGTTGGGGCATTGCAAGATTGTTTGTAAATTTTATGCACATCAAAAATAAAGGATAAAAAAAAATGCCAACACTTTCAAAAAACTTTGGAATATAAAAATAAATTTTACTCAGACGAGTTTACAATAACAATGTGCTATTTGTTAGTATATTTTTTTTATAATGTATTAGAAATACCATTTTCAAGTAGTCTGAATACTAGTCCAGGGTTCTAATATCCTAAAATATTATTATAACATTGTACATTGCAGTGTAGTATTAGAAATGCTGTAGAAAACAACATGAATACCCTGGTACAGGCTGACAGATTTATAGGAGGGAGAGATAGGAACACTTTCAAAAAATAAGTGTTGATCACAGTGAAGTTAATAATATATTAGTTCCTTAACAGGGCTGTGTACAAAAATAGGAAGTCAGAGATACCATATCATTGCAAAACACAACTCATTTACATTCAATACAAGGCTGACAATTGTTTCTATGTACAGAATCACAGTTTTTCTCTTATTACTGTTTTACATAATTTAGCATTAGCAGATTGAGAGAATAGAATTGAGGGGGAGTAATGCAGAGTAGAAAGCAGCTTTGGTATAAGGAATTGGCAAAGCAGCATATAAAACGGGCAACACATGGTTGGGTCTCACTCAAAGAGGAATAAACAGTGCTGAATTTGCGCACTGTAGATTACAGGTTTCTGTAAAATGACGCAAGCAATGGGCAGGATGGTAAGAAAAGTTAATTTAGAACCAAACAGGAAGGGGAAACAAAGCTGTGTGCTAGACAAACACAAAACGGAATTTGCACTTGGCTGGAACTCTATAAAACCAATTACAATTATTATCCCACATATGGGGTTAAAATTAAGATTTGTAACCCGCTAACCCTTCTTAAAAATGTGCATAGCCTAGCTGACACCGTTCCCACTGACAGCCAAATGATATTGTCTTAATTTCTGATATGAATGTGAAGTCACTGTCTAGGATTATTATGGAATGCAACTAAAATGTAGTGTATTCTGTTTATTTCTGTTTGTATGAATCTTTATAAGCTACAATAAAATTATAAATATAAAAAAAAAAAGAAAATAAATTTGAAAGAGAAAAAAAATAGGCTGGGGTAAAAAAGCTAAAAGAATTCTTTAGAACTTAAAAAAAAAAAAAAAAGAATACTTTGCCTTTGTGCAATATACAAAGTATATATTTTTTTTTACTTTCAGTTTACTCATTTGAGATACCTTATCAGGTTCTCTTCAGCAAGGTAAAATGTGTCCCAATATAAAACTTGTGTGAACCGCCATTTGCTGTATTCTATACTGTATTAATAAATCCCATTAAGCAATTTGTGGGAGAGATTTAGAGAACTTTCTAGTGATCCTTTCACGTTTAAAAGTTTGAGTCCTATCCCCTCTCCTGTAAATCATATAACTGAGTAGGTACACTTAGCTTTGAAGAGTTTTTAAGTATGCCCCTGGGTCTAGATGTTTTTATTACCCAACCTTAATGGTTCTTAAATTAATAACTTTGGAAGCATGACAAGCTGAGGTGACCTGCCAGGAAGTAAACCAGCGACTCAGCAAGAAAGCATCTGGAGCTTTTCACCATTAACATTCATTAAGAATTTCCACGAAGTGGCTACTGTAAGCAAATGCACCAGCAACATGGGCCCAAAAAGTGATGACGGGGCAGGGTCTGGCTGCCAACCTGAGTGGTTGCATGCAGAGCGTGCTCCGTGTGAAAAGCTCCTGAAGTGCCTTAATCTGGACTTTTGCATCACCAAAGGTAGCCATCTAGAAGCTGGCAATACTCTGCTTCCACTCCTGCACCGCTTTGCAGTTTTTTGACACGCAAATGCGGCTTACTTGTGGGTGCTGGCGAGGAGAATGCGGCCGATCTTCCTGCTGGCTTTCCTACTGGAATAAGTGGACATAGCAATGGTTCCCGTTCCTCTCCCGGCCCCAGCAATCACACCCTACTCACCAGTCCCTGGTGGCCCTGTGACTCAGCACGTTAATTGGTAGGAACCAAGATGGCGGACGCAAGACCTCACACCATGCCACAGGGCCCAATGGAATCTACTCTCACAGGGCTAGATGCAATCTTCATGGAATTCTGGCGCAGGCTTGAGGAGAGGCGACTGGGTGTAAGCAAGCAATACTACTCACCCCCTGCAGCTGAGGGCTCCATGCCTGATCCAAAGCATCAAAGCAAGCCCATACCTAAGCACCGGAACAAACAAGCTCAGCCATCCACTGCACGTCTGCACCCTAATGTGCCCAGGACCCGTTACCGTATTCCCAGACTGAAGGCCTCGAGAACTGGCTTTTACTAAGGCCTGGGTTCAGCGTAGGGGACCACTAAAAGTCGATGGGACTCAGTCTTGATGTGAGTTTCCAGTAGCAAGCGTGGGTATTGGGTAAACCCAACAAAAGCATAGTTGCACGTGGTGCATGAAGTTGCTTGACCCCTCGGGTGCACCCTATAATGTGCCATACTTAAAATGTAATAATAGTTCACTCACCTTAGTCAACAACAACACTACTGATCATAGCCTAGTTTCAGTTTGAATTTTATTTTGTGGGTAGCTGGTGTTTGCTAATGAACAGCTGGGTATAATCTTTCATGTTTAACTTCTTAATCTTATCCTCATATAACCCTGTACACCCTTCAGTTATGTTCTTCCTGTTTCTCGTGACTCTTAATCTTGTATCTGATACATGGTTGTTCTATGTCTATGCATCGCTGCTACTACTGCTATATAAGTCTGTATTCACACCTTGTGTCTCAATAAAAAAGTGATTGACAAAAATGATGACAGTTGACAAATTTATATAAACGTAGAGAATAGCAAATTTAGAGGGCCATTCTGAGCCCTAGAAAGATTTTGCTTTTAACTTTCTTTGTATGAAGATGTACACACTCTACATCTTATATTCAGTAATCTATCTATTTTTTAATGCCTATTTGTTTCTGACTTCACATCAACATAACTATACGCTTACTTCACTTTACCATCCTGCAGACAAACACCTGCTCTCTAACTCTTGTTAAGCTTCACTCTTGTCCTGATGTAATTGCTTCATATTACAACAACACATTACCAGCTGCTCTTAAATGGGCAGGAATGGTACCTAAAATGTTCCTTTAAATCAGGAGTCCTCAAACTCCGGCCCCCCAGATGTTGCTGAACTACAACACCCATGATTCTCTAGCTATCTATGTAATTCAAAGAATCAAGGGAGTTGTAGTTCAGCAACATCTGGGGGGCCAGAGTTTGAGGACCCCTGCTTTAAATGAAAGTCCACACTGTCAACATGAATTTTACATTGAGTGTTGTCATACTATGACAGGATTTAATCTTGGCGTTTCCAATTTATTTAGACTACTTTGCCTTATGATATGTAATTAAACAAATCTCTTTAATAATTGAATAATTAGTTAACTTAGTGTTTTATTGGGTGAATTGTCCTGTGATGTGTGACACTCCCAATATGTGGGATAATGATTGAAGAGACGTTTTTTTGGTTCTTGGGTCCAATAAAATTGCCCATCTTTTGGAACTTTTGGAGTGCCTGGACTACTTTCTACAATTATACTATATATTTAGTCTCTTTGGTACTGGGACTGATCAAAGAGCACCCTAGGATTCCAGAGCGAAGGGCTGAGTGCAGTTCCACTACCTGTTTATTGATATTGAAACCTGAATTTTTCCAGACATTATTCGAAACACCTAACTATATATACTACGCACTCCCACCACCACACCGTGCATAACTATCTATATTACAACTAAAATATGTGATTATATTCCATAGAACTGCATTATAATAAACGGTGATACATTTGTTTTAAGTGAGTGCATCTCCTTATCCAAAGCGATGAATTATATATTTTATTGCTTAAGGAGATGTTAATTAAATATTACCGCATCTCCAGTGTTGACAGCGCCACCATCATACTGGTGTTACACTAATGTAAATCCCAACCACTACTCCCATTTATGTCCCAACCACTACCTACCCAACTGGCCTGTGGCGTGTGGATACTTTATTTTCTGATCAGTGTGATATTTGTCATTTTGTTGCAATATTGCACAAGCAATGCGTGAAACACACTTGCTGCATGAATTATCACAGCAACTACTGCGTGTGCACTTTAGTTGCTGTGATAAGAACCAGCGGTGACTAACAGAGATGAAAAAATAGTTAATTTTGCCAGTTAACCTATTTATGCCTAAAATCTACAATTCCCCTATCATTTTCCCAGTTCCCAGTTTAGTCAACAATTCTAAATCAACAACTCTGAATCTAAAGGGCCACTTGCCTCTCTGAGCTACCTGTCATACTGGGCACCAGAATGCCACCTCCTTTTTATTTATGACTGTCACAAATGATCTTTTTTTTTTTTTTTTTTTATAAATCTTTATTTTCATGCGATAAAAGGACAGACATGTTAATATTTCCGCAAACCATTTGTACATGTCTCACAGGAACATGCTACATTAAATATACTGTTAAGATACATTTTGCATTTTTTTTTTTAAGTTATATTGGGCTGGGATGTTGTAACGTGGGCCTTAACTGTGGAAGTTTTGGGTGAGTGTTCACTCGTCTATGTGTGCAGCGCAGTTACCTTGAAGCCATCTAGCGTGTGGGGCGTGCAGTATCCGATAAGCTTTTGTTTGTGGGGGTCAAATCCCCATCTGATCTCTGGTATCTGTTTGGTTATGGTGCTCCATATGGTGTCCAGGGCTAGAGCCGTGTTTGGTGTGTGGGGAGTCGTGGCACTCCCTTCAGCGGCATCCTATATGGTTTTAGGTTATGTCTATTATACCTTCCTTCGGACGCTGCATGGCTCTCGCCTGGATTGGAGGTGCGCTGTGTGGCTTAGCTAAGTATAGTGATGAAGGTGGCTGTGTGTAAGCACGCTGTAATAAATGTTTGAGTCTAGTAGGTGTCTAGGTGGGTGGGAGCTGTATGGAAGTCTATCTGCGCCCAGAGGGCAAAGAACCCACGGCGTAAAAGGAGGAAGAAAGCGTTAGACTATGTGTGAGTGTAAGGCTCCCGTGCTGGTAGTACCCTATTACCCCAGGGCAGGGGGGGGGGGAGGGAGGGAGTTGTCGCCAGAGCCGGCTGGTGGGGCTTCCAATAGGTCGCTATCCCACTATAACAGAAAGAGGTGAACCAGTAATACTAACGCTTGTAAGCGTTACTAAACATTTTAGTAAGAGAGTCTTAGTAAAAGTCCAAAAGTCCCAGACCGAGCGCGTCGTTTCAGGACTTGGTGTCTCCATGGGGTCTGGGTGTAGCCGTTGTTGTTGCTTCAACCCTCCTGGGTCGATGGCCTGGCAGTGGCATTGAAGTTGTCGGCAGAGTTGGGAGTCCCAATGTCGCCATTAGAGCTGGGCCCTCAGAGGGATCCGTGGCCTTGTAATGTTTGTTGTCTTTGGTAACCCATAGGGTCCCCGGAGTCGACCACTTGTAGGTAATGCCTGCTGCGTGGAGTGGTTTAGTAAGTGGTTGCATTTGTTTGCGCCATAGTAGTGTGGCTCTGCTCAGGTCTTGAAAAAAGGATAATCGGCAATCCTCAAATTCCATAGGAGTCTTTCCCTGGAGCGCTGCTAAAAGTCCCAATTTGTCTGACATAGACTGGCACCGTAATATGATGTCTCGCGGTGCTGCGCTAGGTGCCTGCGGGGATTTCGCAATTCTGTAGACTCCGTCGAATAAGAAGGTTTTGGCTTGTCTGGTTGGAAGTAGTGCAGCTACGAGGCGTCTGATGAAATGTGGTAGTTCCTCCAGTGGGATGGATTCCTGCACCCCTCTGATTTTGACGTTTTTGCGTCTCCCCCTGTCGTCCAGTAGGTTGACTTGTCTGGAGAGGGTAGTCTGTGTGGTGGTTAGTTTTTGTACTTTCTCCCCCAGCTCTTGTAGGCCTTGTTTCAGGGTCTCCACTTCATTCTCTGTAGCTTGTGTACGTAGTGTCACAGCATTTACATCCCCTTTTAGCACTGCCAGGTCAGCCTCCCACATTTGCCTGAGGTTCTGTTGCAGGCTTGTCAGCATGGCCTGGATATCACTCCTGGATGCTGGGGCATTATCCTCCATTACCCGTGGGGGAGCTGCATGACATGGAGTGAGTGGGCTATCAGGTGGTTCTCCTTCCTCTGAGGGCAGTGGAGAGGAGTCCCGATGGGACGTGGTCCGCGCTGCACCTGGGGCCTGCAACATCTGGCCTATGTCGCGCTGGGGCCTTGGGGTATGTGTGGGTGGTTTCTGAGACTTGCGCCCCATCTCACCTGTGTGTGGCAGGTTGTGGTACCAGTCTTCAAGAGCAGGTGAGCCCCAGGGCCAGATTCCCTCCTCTGAGTCTCTCTGTCGTCCGCCCGCGTGGTAGGCCTTACCGCCTCGGCGTCGTGTTTTGGAGCCGGGCGCAAGAAAAAACGGCATCGGCGGCTTCGGCTGGCTGTCCTGGTTTTAGACCCAGCGTCTGTGACCAAGGTCGGTATTGGGTGCTCCCAAATCGGCTGGATTATGAGTGTCCAAGCGGGAGCTCCACTATTGTGCGTCCGCTCGGTTCCGTTGTCAGACTCCCTTCGTCACAAATGATCTTAATTCCTTTACTGACACTCCAAATACACCGGCTACATCAGCACCACAACTAGCTCCACTCCCATCCAGGGTTCATAATGGTCAATGCTGTATGTATGTTTTATGGCAGGGTATCATCAAACTACATTGGTGGTTATTAAGCACAAATGTCTATAGCTCTAAGCCAAAAACAAACACCTCAAACGAGCTGTCACACAAACGGAGATATAACATAACATCGATGAAAAGCAAATCCGGTGATGTTCATACGTTGCTGTTAATGTTAACGATACTACACGTATTATCATGTTATGTGTACTTGTGAATGATAAGCCGATGAGGCCATATTTGATCGATGAGCTGCTATGTCAGCGATTGTGTGTTGTATTAATATTAATGTTAGCATTGTATTAATATTGATATTATCATTGTAAAATCATTATTGTATTATTTTACTACTGTATTATTCTATCACTGTATTATTACCATTACTGTTATTTTATTATTATATCACGGGACTATGCACTGGAGTACAGCTAAAACCAATAAAAAAGAAATATGGAAAAAAAAAACTACATTGGTGGTCACATAATTCAAAGCAAAGGGTCTCGTGTCAGTAAAGTAGTATAATAAACTGTAGGAATACTGGATTAGAAACTATTAAAGTAATGGAATTTCCATAAACTGAGTCTTTTCACTGAATGTGTAAAAGAGTGCAGATTAGGGTATTTGTATAGGCTGGAGTGGGAAGAGATAATTATGACATTTTTGCCTTTAGTGACATGAATCTCTCTGCCTTTACCCATTAGACCATGGGTCGTCAAACTCCGGCCCCCCAGATGTTGCTGAACTACAACGCCCATGATTCTTTGAATTACACAGATAGCCAGAGAATCATGGGAGTTGTACTTCAGCAACATCTACGGGGCCGGTGTTTGAGGACCCCTGCATTAGACTGTCAGATAATGGAATGACGAGGTAGACATCCATGGGATCTGAATTGAGGATGCAGCTGCATTACAGCAACTATAGTTGCATCACTTTTATAAACATCAGCAACATCTAATCTAATCCATATATTATTTGTGATTGAGACACACACTGCTTAATAAGCCATTTTTAATTATTTGTATTGCATCCTCTCCTTGAATTGTCATTTCTTTATGTTCTTTTCTATTGTTTGACCTTGTTGACCTTCTATGTCACAAAAATACGTGTTTCTGCCAGTCATTCTTGCCCGTTTATTTTATTCTATCTCCCCTGTAATGAATTCTGTTATTTCACTTGGCCCTTCTTTATCAAAATCCATGGCAACGGAAAAATTGCTTCTCCCGAACTGAAACAGAATGTTTATGTTAGAATTACGCCAAGCATTCCAAGATGCCTTCTTCCCACCCTCACCATCGGTGCTCCCTTCGTTGCCAATTCTGATAGTGCATGCTCTTGTCCTATGCATAAATCATTGAGATGTCTTTATTGTCATTTGGATATTAACACAGCATTGCTCTCCATAACTCTTTCCATTTTCCACTCTTTATTGTCATTTGGATATTAACACAGCAGAGTTCCTCCATAACTCTTTCCATTTTCCTAATGGCTGTGCCTGCTTAATTTAACAATTTTATATGTCAAAGCTGGAGCAGCTGAGGCAAAAAAAAACAAAAACCCACAAAAACCACCGTAGGGGTTTATTCATTACACCAGGGGGAGAAACTAATCAGTGGAATCCACATTTTAGACAAAAATAGCTGAGAAAGAAAATAAAACCTGAATAGTTTAGTCTATGGACCTCTGTTTGTTAAATAATTACATGATGCCATTTCAGACGTTTCAAACTGAATAAAGGGTTAACAGGAACAGAGGCTGCTTTGTGCTAACATAGGTCATAGTTACAGTGTGCAAAGTGCTACAGCAGGCAAGAAGATATCTTTAAGCCTTGCTAGTGTACAGGGGACTGGCATTTGTATATATTTAAACATCCCTAATACATTTTATTATCGCCCCCCACCTCCCTTGTATGTTTTCCTCACCCCAGCCCCCAAACCCCAGCCCTTTACAACAGCAGCCCCTCCTTTCACTCACCTGCTGAGCTGGGAGCCTGTAGACTTGCTCTCTTTTTAAATGGGGATTTGCTTCCTGACATTGTGCCTCTGGGTATCTGTTTACCTCTGTATCTAAATACCACTGTTGTGATAAGAGTGCAGTGAGAAAGCTCCACTAATGGAACGTCTAGTTTAGGTGTAAATGATCTGTGTGTGTATGTGTTTGTGTGTCTATGTGGTTATGGATCTGTTTGGATAATAGATATCTATGTTTGTTTAAAAGCAGCAAAGGCTGTATCTGTAAACGGTGCTAGACTAAACAGATATATGTAATAAATGTGGGTGCATTGTATAGTGAGAGCAGTGAGGCAGCAACAAGATGAGAATGAGGCGTCTGTATGTGTATATAAGTGTCTGTGTGTGTATGTATTTGTACGTGTGGTTGAGGAACTGTTGTTACAGTTTTTTTGTCAAAGGCTCCTCCTCTCCTGCAAGCAACAGTGTGCGAGGGTCTCAGTACTGAAAAAAATGTGTGTCATCATTTCACAATGGAGAATATGTTTATGTGTGCTGTAAATTGCACTAAAGCAAAATTTGGGAAAGTATTTGTGCTCATATGTTTGCACATCTTTCACTATTAACCAGTTCATTCTTTTATTAATTTTAAGTAAAGCAAGTAAGCTTTATATTAATACAAAACAGACAAATTGCTTACTCATTCACCATATGCTCACCAGGGATGGGAAATTATAGTTGTGGGTTGCAGATCCAGTATAGGTCAGAATAACTGCCATCAGAACTCTAGGGGCCCCTTAAAAAATCATTGTCCAAACCCACATACAAACAAAACACTCTCCAATGCACACTAACATATACTGATAGATAGATAGATAGATAGATAGATAGATAGATAGATAGATAGATAGATTTCCCAGAGTTCAGTAAGGGCCAGGCTGTATGCAGTAAACTCAACCTCAGATCCACAAAGGATTCATATCTCCCAAACCGCATAGCATAATGTTAAAAAAAAAACAAATTTCCATCTAGGCCCTAAAGTTCCGGCTTTACCATCTTGTTGGATGGCCTAGTGAGTCAGTTCTTGAAAGGGATGATAGCAGTGAGTTCAACATCTCTGCAGCTGCTCACATTGTGTGTGATCTTGGTAGCTTATATTGTGCCAGTCATTAGGTGTACCAGCTTTATTTGTGTAAACTAAGCGCTATAGTGTAGATATCATAACGTAGTGGTTTTGGTGGAAAGACCCTGCATTCAGGCATATGTAAATATTGCCATTTAGGCGATACAGCATTGTTTACATTTGCATGGAAATGCCTCTGCTTGGAAAGGGAGGAGAAGGTAGCAGCAGTGGACATCAGAGATGTACTGTCATGTCGCATCCCCTCTGCTTATGTACCAGGCTCGAGAATGTGTTGCAAAGGAAGGAACAGTGATATAGCAGTGATTTTACTGACCAAACGTAATGGAGGAATTTCTTGTGGTTGGCCTCATGCAGGTTACTGCACAGCAACTACTGACTAAAACAGGTAAGATGGTGGTGCTGGCTGATTAGAGAACAAAGAAATAGCGGGGGAAAGGTAGAATACAATTTAAAGAGAAGACTAAGTTAAAAAAAAAAGAGCAAGGTAAAACTAGATGGAATGAGAAGAGTAAGAGGGAATGTGAAGGGGCAAATGTCATAAGAAGAGTAGTTGGAATAATGGGGAGATGGAATAATTTAGGGGAGTGAAGGAAAAGGATAGATGGCATGAACGGGAGAACTAACTGAAATGAGAAGTGAAATTTAGAATAGATGGTGAGGTGGAATAGTCAATGATTTACGGAAGATCTTGATGTGGTGGTTTGATGCATAGATGCTCACCCATTACTTGGACAATGTAAAACTCTGTTTGTGAAAAAAGACAATGTTTACATGACAGGCGCACAGTCGGATTTGCCGGCATATGCGCTAACCTTACCCCAATCCCATTAAGACACGGACACAGGTTATACTGTTGGAAATATTAGTCCACAGCTTTATTAATTAATTAATTAATTAATTAAGGAATAACAAATAGGGTCATTACAACAAATCTTTAAAGTCTACATCCCGGGGGCGTGGCCGGAACCCGAGCCACATGGTCGCGGGTTGAGGGAGCTCCGCCGACAGGGCTAAAAAAACGGCGAAATAAGCGGCACAAATAAGCACACACACCGCAGAAACTCACCCCAGAGATGTCCCAGCACCGGGGGAAAAAAGCCGGGAACCCAAAGATAAGGCAGCATTCTTTGCAGCCCGTACGCCGCAAGTGAAAACCGCGGGTCAGCCGATCCAAGATGGCGCCGAAACGGAATCAGACAGCGACCAGGCAGCAGGTACAGGCTTAAATAAACATACCCTGCAACACATGTTAGATGACCTGGCAGGGAAAATGCAGAGCACGTTCCACACAGCAATAACAGAGCTGAGAAGAGACATAATGGACTTAGGCAGCAGAACTTCACACTTAGAGGGCAAAATGGAGGAATTTGCCACAGCACATGATTCCATGGCAGACAAAATGGAGGACATAGAAAGCAGACTGGAGCGCTTTGAAAATAAAATCATGGATATGGAGGATCGCTCCTGCCGCAACAATTTAAGGCTAAGGGGCATACCTGAGGCAGTACACCAGCAGGATCTAACAGCCTACGCTACAGAATTCTTCCACTCTCTGATGCCTGACATTCCGGCAGATATGCTGATCTTAGACAGGATACACAGAGTAGCAAAGCCTGCGCACTTACCTCCCTCCACTCCACGAGACGTCCTCATGAGAGTACACTATTTTCACATAAAAGAGCAGATATTGAAAAACCACCGCTCCAACAGAAACGTTCCAGACAAGTTTAAAGATATCAGCATCTATACAGACCTGTCGGCAGAAACGCTAAGAAGACGTCGGACGTACCGAAACATCACAGAGACACTCCGTCAGCGCAACGTACAGTACCGCTGGGGATACCCGGTAAAGCTGCTTATTACCAAGGACAGTAAAACGCATGTGATAACATCCACCGCAGAGGGCACCGACCTTCTCCAGTCGTGGGGCATCACAGTGAACAACATCCAGGGCGCGGGTCAACCTCGAAGCAGTAAACTACAAGGGGAATGGCGAGCAGTCAGAGCGAGGCGGACTACCCCGCGCACCGAACATTGAAGCACCAGAGACATTCGCTAATTGTTGACTGATGACAAAGGTTTGGGGAATGGGGGGCGGGGTGAGGGGACGATAGAGGGGGGCATCAGAGGGGCAATTAGTAGACCCGGGGTCGGGAGACGCCCCACATCACCTACGCTCGAGGGGCTCCGACAGCAGGTGAAGCACCACCTGAGGCAACCCACAGACCGTTGTAGCCTTCCCTCTCTCCCCCCCCCTCCCTCTTGGACGCTGACAAGTCCAAAGAATCAGTGGGGCGAACCATACAATAGCCGACTGATACTAACAAGACAAAACAGAAAGGAAAAAAAAAAAAAATTGACCAAAACTCGAGCAGAGACCCCTCCCCCCCCGACATATGAGAGTTACTCCGCTGCTACAGTGCTTACTGGCAGAGAGCCCAGTCGAATGACTAGATCCCGACTCTAGACCACATATGGTTAGACCGGACCACCTACCCCCAATCCAAGAAGGTCACTCTCTCGACCTTCAGCAGGAAATTTTGAACACCTCAATAGTGGTGTTCAATTATAGTTTAAGTTTAAGTTTTAAAATGTTCAAGTTATGTTTACTTGTTGTGTGTCCCCAACCAGATTACGCCATTGCACTACACCATTACCACAGGGCAACGCCCAAGCACCACCACCCCAATAGTATGTGGCACCCCCAACCGAATTATGGTCCTAAGCCCCAGAGCTATACACGATTCCTCAGAAGACCTGCCACCACTCTCACGCACAAGGCGCCAACGTTATACACACAGACAGTCGACCCTACAAACATCCGCACGAGGCCACAATCCAAGCCACATAGTTGAACCACAAAGAGTATGAAAATATACACCCATAATGTCAGAGGGTTAAATACCCCACAAAAAAGGCACACACTCCTTAAGGAACTTAGGGGCAACCAAGCCGATGTGATATGTCTACAAGAGACCCACTTCTCTGCAGATACAACTCCCACTCTAGGGAAGACAATGTACCCCCATCAATACCATGCCACCGCACGCACAAAACGGAAGGGAGTCTCTATCCTCCTCAGCCGTCACTTAGCCTTTGAAGAAATTATGGTGAAGAAGGACCCGCTAGGCAGGTACATTATACTGATCTGCACTATCAACAGCTCCACCTATACCATAGTTAATACATACCTACCAAACGTAAACCAGGGGGCATATCTCAGTAATCTGCTAAAACTCACATCTCAACTACAAACAGGCACCACGATCATTTGCGGGGACTACAATCAGTTCCAAGACCCCACACTAGACTCCTCAGCAAAACACACAACCAGGAGAGCTAAAACACTGCACAGACAGTGCAAAGCCTTAACCAAACTCCTAAACACATATGGGCTATACGACGCATGGCGCACGCTCCATCCGCAAGGAAAGGAGTATACATATTATTCACAGGTGCACAACACGTACTCAAGAATAGATGGGTTCTTACTTCAGAGTGCACACCTAAATAGAGTGATAGACTGTATGATCGGAACAACCCCCTGGTCGGACCACAACCCAGTCACACTACACTTAGCAGACCACTACAACTATAAGAACAGAGGCCCATGGAGGTTAAATGAACGCCTCCTTGGCGACCCCCATTTTGTACAGACGTTGGAACAGGACCTACACACGTACTTCCAGTCTAACGATACACAGGACATAAATGCCCTCACACTATGGATGGCCCACAAACCGGTCATCAGAGGTATTCTCATCAAACGAGCCACTCACCTCAAAAAACAGCAGAACCTCACTTATACCCAAAATCTCAAAAAACTGCAAGACCTACACAGAGATAACATACTCACCCCCTCCGCGAACACGCAAAAACAGATAAAGGACTTGCAAAATCAGATTAATGTAGCAAATTTCCAAAAAGCGAGTTATGCACTTAAAAAACTGAAAGCCAACACATTTGTCCTAGGCAATCAGGCAAGCAAAGCCCTGGCCCAGAGACTTAGAGATAAACAGGCCCAAACAAAAATACCCTACCTGCTTTCACCACAAGGCCTAAAATTGACCCAACCCATACAAATCTGCAATGAGTTTGCGTCTTACTACAGTTCCCTCTATAACCTAAAAGACAACCCCCAGGTACATCAACCCACCCAAAAATCGATCACAGAATATTTACGCAGGTTTGACTTGCCCAAGCTCCGCGAACAACAAATAGCGCACCTAACTAACCCCATCACAACTCAAGAAGTATTACAGCTAATAGACAAGATGCCGAAGGGAAAGGCTCCCGGTCCAGACGGCCT